TTCTCAGACTTACTGAATATGCATAAAAAAATTTATAAGAATCGGTAGAGCCGATTATTATATTAATTTTAATCCCATCTTGATGTCTAGCGTTCCACGACAAAACGCTTTTTCCGACACATTGACTTTATGGAACCAGCTGCCATTCTAAGTATTTCTGAGCCGTTACGACATAGGGGCCTTCAAGAGAAGAGCGTACCATTAACTTAAAAGCCATCACGTGTCCATGGGCGGCAGTAAGCACTTAATTCTATATGTTGTGCCTGTTCGTTTGCCGCCTGTTTTAAGACATGCGTTAATAACCAGCTGGGTTTAGTTTTTAAACAAACTCTCTACAGAAAACTTGTAATCATTGTCGATGTCGTTGATACATTATTATATTCACTGTTAATAATTCTAATCGCAAATATTACAGTAAATAGGTTGGTAGTAAATAAGTTGACCCTCACATTGCCACGGTCACGTCCACGTAATCTTGAGCATTGTTATCAATATTATGCTGATCACAGCTTGTATTTACACAAAAAAAACATCAATTTAGTTTACTTTACTGCCATATTCTTGACTTATTTTACTATACATATGTATAATGTATATACTTTATAGTACTATAACTAGTCTTAATAATATTGCATTTTGGTGTTTTTTTATAGAACAGGTGGCATACGGGCAGGAGGCTCATCTGATATTAAGTGACACCGCCGCCCATAGGCGCTCTCACTTCCAAAAGGCTCGCAAGTGCGTTGGCGGCTTTTTAAAAATTGAACGCCCTGTTCTACTTAGTCGAATTGGTTTGGTGTTACTCCAGCGGGCAGTTTTACCTATTATTATATTTATAATTGTGTTCTTTGATTGACTTTTGTTTAAAAAAAAATGACTTTTATGTGTGTTTTCTAAGGCTATGTTCAGATGGCAAAAACTTGACGCGCGTTTTCAAATCGCGCGACTAGACATTGTGGTATTTTCATACAACTGTTCACATGAGCGCGCGTCAACGCGGCGCTCAGAGAAAAAGTCTCTAGACGCAGGTGATCGCGCGTTGACGCGCGCTTTGATATTAATGTAATGTCCGTTTGCTGTTCAGATGAGCGCGCGATTTCATCGCGATCGCATGTAATTTTGTTAATTTTCGTAATTATATTTTGTTCTCGCATTTAAAATGAGTGAAATTGAAGATATTGACATCGACTTACTAATCGATGAAGTAGAAAAAAAGGCCAGCAAGTTGGAATATAGCAAATTTGTATAAAAAATATAATAAATTTATTTTTCAAAATTGATGAACCCAATTTTACGTTTTATTTTTCTATATTTTTCTTTATAATATAACCACAAAATAATAGCCTCTTCCACGTCCATTTTCTACGTTCTACCGAACTAGACTAACGAGTACTCTCGCAACGCGCGTTCGCGCTCATCATCTGAACGCTCTTCAAATTTGATCGCGCGTTGACGCGCGATAACGCGCGTTACATGTGAACATAGCCTATTAATCAGACTTCTGGGCCTGAAACACATCGTCGACTTTTTTTGTATAAGGCATGTTTCCTCGCGAGTTTTTCTTTCACCGTGGCTGTTCTGTTTTAAGCTTTTCTATTGATACATTATTATAATTTTTAAGTTCTAATATTATTGATGTGTGTAAAATTTGGATTAATATTATATCTATATAAGTACAAATAATCCTGAAATATCCAATCTTATAGATGCATAAAAAATATAGGTCACTGGCCTGTTGTTGCCACTCCAATTGGCTTCTTCCATACAATTCGTATACAAACTCTGCTTCCCATTACAACAAATTGCTTGACGCAAGCTCCTAGCCAAAATGTCCCAAATAATCGCGTTTAATTAATTATATAGGATTTGGAACTTTGGAATAAGTTCGTTGGTAACATATAATAATTTGTATATCGCCGGCATCAAATAAACTTTTAACGTATGAGTAATGAAGAAAATTCTAATATCCCCCATTTGTTATATGTGTGTTTAAGCAAACTGTCGTCATAAAATGATTTCTTCATTGCAATAAACGATGTAAAAAAATTTAATAGACCAGAATTGGCGATCGTAAATCTTATCTCTCATTTAGTACGCCCAGTGTCTAATTTAAACTAAAAAGAGGCCAGGGTTAGGCGTGATCTAATATTTAATGACATAGTATGTTTGTATGTATGTATAATATTTCTTTATTTTTAGTCAATACACGCAGTCATATTAATCAAAAAGTAGTTGCATATAAATAATACTTCCACCTGATTAAACAATTAAACTTTTATGTTTATAGATGGAGTAAGACCATGAAAATAAGGCTTACAAAATGTGACAAAAGGGATCATCACGTGTAAGCATCAAGCAATTGTATCGCTTTTTTGTACAGCAATTTAATCACGTGCTCAAAGCTCCAGCTTCTTGATATGTAAATTAAATTAAAAATTGTAACCAGACAGCGTCAAATAATAACGTATTATTAATATATAATCAGTTTATCAGTCATCTAATGATTAATTAATTATTTAAGACATAACTAATAGTATGTATTAGTAATACGTTCAATTAATAAAGCAATGACTAATTTAATCGTGACTTTATAATTGAAATATAGATCTATATATTCGTGGCTCTAATATATAGTTCTGATTCGTTCTATCCTAAACAATTGAAGCAATGATCATTATAATCAATACAGTTGACATCACTTGACTGGTTAAGATATTTAGATTACAATAGTACTATTTTCGTGGTCATGTATCACAATTTTTGGCCAAGGCAAATGCAAGAAAGAAAGATGTCAGGCGTAGCAATGCGAGCAATAAAGATTATGTACAGTATGATTAAGATGTGGTATATTGTAGGCTATGACTACAAATTAAATGTTGTAAAACAAAAAAATAGAGTGACACAGAGTTGGCCAGTACTTGTCTATTCTACTCTTCATTTGAGGACTGGCTATAAATGTAAATTTAGAATTTTATTTTTAATTGATTTTCTTATTTAAGTTCAAAATTGTACAATGTTCTGTAATTCAGACATTCTGAGTTACAACTTGGGCAAAAATCACAGAAATATTAATTAAACTGAGACAAATAAGCGCGTAAAGACCGTAGTAGCCATAAATTTAAACAAAGGACTCTTTTTAGAATGCCATATTAGAGTTAATATATCGCTTGGCCTCTTCACAGCGGCAATTGTTGCGGCTAACAAGTGCCTTGGTTACTAGGAGGCCGTGGTCATCTCGATTTCTGCTAACCTTGATAGATAGACAATGACATTTATTTATAATAACTCAAACAACAACATACATTTAAAATTGTAAATCATTCACGGAAAATCTTAGGCAATATTTAATTTTAACACATTTGATAAGAAAAGGATTGGGTCATGGATAAGATTAAGGGAGATTTTTGGTGCGAAATCCCATAATACCCGTTGCAATGTAGTATGAAGAAACCAAACTGTAGGACTGTCACTAGTAGGACTTTAAAATGTTAGAAATACCGCAATAATATAAAATGATGCATTTTTTACTACCCCGCATATACCTATATATACAGGGCGACCCAAAGTTATGGGACTTGAAGGGAAAGTACCTTAAATATCGTAGATAGGGTATTTACTGAAAGAAGACTTTTTTATTTTTAAAAATTAGTAATTCTGCATTTAAAGATTTTCTAAAAATTACTTGCCTCGTCTGGGAATCGAACCGACTTAAATGTAAAATTTCCCTTCATGTCCCATAACTTTGGGACGCTCTGTATATAGGGCGTAAATCTTTCTTTGTTATGATTTTGTAAACGTGTAAGTCAGGCCGCACACCAGGCATACATTTGTTATTTACGTCGCCACAATCGTTGCGAAGTCGTTGCGCTACAATTGTATGCGCTACAAATGTATTGAAAATGCGCACATCGGTAGCACAGTTGTAGCGTGGCACCGCTTTGAGAAGGTCGACATCATCATCTTATGACATAGATTTCTTGATGTGGCGATTAATGAGAAAAAAAAGACGTTATTGGGTTCATCCGTTTAATCAAGATTGCACAAAGTACGGGAATTTTTCGCCAATCTTAGTCCAAATTATTTCTGTAATCCGTCTGTTACTATAATCATTGAGCGTGTGATTGTATAAAACAGGGTTTTTTTCAACCTCTGCAATAAACTCAACGTAAAATTCAATGTTGTCCTTAATTTTTGCAAACCAACGCGACACAAAAAACGAACGTGTTCGATCTTGAATTTGTGTGGCGCGGAAACTGTCTCGCTACAAAGTGCGCCCGCCACAAATGTTTCCTCGGTGTGCGTGCTCACGTACAAATGTATGGGGGCGTTAAATGTGTCGCGTTTCAAATGTGGCGCTACAATTATCGAGTTACAAATGTATGCCTGGTGTGCGGCCTGACGTAATGTAATCTCGTCATCGTTATTAGCTAACAATATACAATATAGGGGTCCCTTCTATATTTTTAAATTTAATCAATGAATATAGATTCTTAACAAATAGCATTAATAGAAGAATGTGAGTTTTCAATTCTTATGAGCGTTAAATAATGACAACGAAAAAAAGATACTGAACAAATTCACGATTTTTATAAAGCATTAATTTGTGCAATATGTATAATAATTAATGAAGAGTATCAGTTCCATGAGATAAGAGCTTTGCTGGCGTGCGCCGCGTATGTAAACGAATAGCTTTACTATGCTCTACTAGCAGTGCGTAGCCAGGGCCGATTCGTTATAATTAACTGTTAAGCGAATGATAAGTACGTAAAGGAAAACGTTACTAGTAGTTATACAATATACAATCATATGTATATTTAAATATGTACAGGCAATACAAACCGAATAAGACGATATAATAAAAGACGATGTGAATAATGACACCTTATAAAAAAGGTAGGCAAATCGCCAGTAAAACACTAGTCTTTTTTATCCAATATTACATAATACGGCTTCAGTATGAATGACGGAAGTATGCGAATTGCATACTTCCAAATTCTACTTAAACGATGTAACGGCCGCTTTCTATACTCGATCTATAATCTAAAATTATTTCCGATCCAGATTTTTGCAAATTTTGATGGATAAATCCAAAATTCAAACTGTCAATTACAAATATATTTTACAAAAACGATCCATCCATTGGTTATTGAAAACTATGTATGAGAAATGGATTGAAATATCATTAATAAAAAATGGATTGGGATTGAGTATAGTTAGCATCCGCTTAGCAACATAAAAAGATTATAAATGTACATATGTATATGCAGCATAAGCAGTTGAAAAATGAAGAAAAAACTTTTTTTAAAGTATGGAACATGCAAATTACCTGTTCCCTGCTGAAAAACTGCTGGAAAGAAAAGGAAGCCACAGTTAGAAGTTAAATAAGCCACAACTAACACACACCCACAAAGTTATTTTCAAAAATCTTTATATACATTATAAGTTTGATATCACTGTATAATGTGTAGCAATGTAATAAAAATAATCAATACAGATTATATATTTTTCTGAAAACAACTAAGTAAAGGAAGACATAAATAAAACTTCTTTAGGAAATATTAATTTAATACATTATTTTAATAACCATTGGTTTTTATCTCCATTAAAGAAGTTTTAAGTTTTCCGTACTTGCATAAACCAAAGACAATAATAAAAGAAAATTGGTAAAGAATGATCATAAATGAAAATTATGAAATGGTTAATAGATTATTTTTTTAAGTCTTTATATGTAAAAATAAAACATTAAGAAGTTTAAACCAATCCATTAAATATCCTATAAATGGGATTAGTATATAAACAAATTTTTGATCTATTGATAATGAAAATCAACCAATAAAAACAGTGAATTTTATCTTAAATAGGTTTTTTAAGTATATATAAATAAAGTTCTTCCCAATATTTAAAAAAATTATATAGTATTTAACCATTTAGAGTTTAAACCTAAGATGAAAACACAATAATTGATAATGCACTTACCTGCTTATGTTTAATTTTAGAACATTCCTGATATGCTGCTTCTAGTTTAGGGATAATGGGAGCCTTTTTTGATCTTGTGTTCTTTATACCTAATGATTTGCCAAATGGTGCAAACCAATAGCTGCAACAAATACATTCTCTATATATTTAAAATTATTTTGAATTAAACCTTATCTGAAACAGTAAACTAAAATTCAAGACAAGACACCTAACTAAGGATATCAGAGATTTTGGTGTATAATTCAGAATCGAGACTTAGTGTAAAGTATGACTTCTGTAAAACTGAACCAAATGTCTCAACTCTAAATGTCTTAGTGTGATAATTTTTCTTAATAAGATACAAAAATATGTTTACATTTAAAAATATAAATTCATTCATTACATCTATTATATAGTTTAATTAATATTCATATTATACAATGTATTTGTAAAAGTTAATCAAACTTTTGGAGTACCACTTTATCTCTTATATGTAATAAACTGAATTATATTTTACTATAAGATAACATATCACTAATAAATAATCTATAATTGATAATAAAATTGAGTCACAGACGAACGGTTACATATAGATGACATAGTTACGATAAATATTTGGCCTTACTTTTCTATAAGGTGGCGCAGTGCGATGAGCACAAAAGCTAAAGGTATAGGGTACAGAAGATGCCTGTGATCATTATAAACCACAACCTTATCGGGTCCTGGTTTTATGTCCTCCCAAGTAGTATTTGGCGGCAGCCAAACATCTTCATTCCAAAATGTATCTAATAAATACCGCAACATTATCGCTACTTCTTGAAAAATAACTTAATTACTAAACGACTGACACTTCACTGTTACATATATAATAAATTAAAAATGATTTCAGTATATATTTTTTATCACAAATAAAAAATAATTAGTTTATTCAGAATACCAAATGACGATTTAGCAACAAGCAACGGCATAACGAGCCTTACATCGACTAATAAACTAGCTATTTAAACTATGTATAAATTATATATATAGCTAATAGCATAGGCACAATAGTATAGCAGTTAGCACACACATGAAGATTATCAGACTACAGATATCTATCTTTCAGGCGGCGCACTGCCCAACATGACGCTTAGGTTTTGACTTATGACACCCTGTCGAACACAGACAAAGTCTTGAGACAAAATGTCTTTTGCATGGTATGGACAATGACGCTTGGTCACTTGTTCGTTAACCGTTTTCGTATTTAAAATTCGTAAGGCGTTAGTGGGTCACGTATGTCGAAAAGTGAGTTTGTCTCAAGCTCCAAGTACAGAATTGGATTCTGGATTCGTCATGCCCTAAAATCTTTAAAAAAATATAGAGAATAATAGAGGCGTGATTTAATTAATTTACAAATTGTTTTAAGTATCAACGCCATGATAACTGTCGAACTAAAACGACGTAACGTTGTTGTGAACATAACAAAAAAAAATTAGCAATGCTGCGAGCTCAAATCGCACGACGGTTCTCTTCTTTTCCACACAAACTCTTATTCAAATTAAACCTTTTACCTTAGAATAAGATCTAATGCCATAGTAGGAAATATACATGTCCATCCTTTTTTCTATCGCAATCCATACTAATAGTATTAAAAAAATGGGTGCGTGTACTTATGTACGCGCGTAAGTAGTTATACTTCCTTGGCATTATTCAAAATAATTTTTGATTGCATGCAAATAATTAATTACAATTAAATAATCAAAGACTGGAAAATGAGTCATTATAGTCAATAAAGTTCACTTTACATTTGAAAAATTAAATAATTAAATATTTATTTTTATTCTCTTACATTAAGTGTAACATAAATTCTATTATTATTCGAATGTTGTTTTTAAATTATGTCCAATGCCGTAGCATCTTCCGTGGGCAACTTCATTCTGTTAATTTTATGTCACGGTGCGCGAGCATCGTAAAATTTCACTCTCATCAATTTTTCATAACGCGCCCAAAGAAGTATAACTTCAAAAAATGCGTGCGTATAAAGTACACATGTCATACTAATTGTTCATATTTAATCAAATCTAAAACTTTAGATTTCCGAGACTTATAGCTGGGGAGCCCAAGAGGGGATTTCGGGATTTACTCCAGCGTGGCAGATTAATATACAGGGAGATACCTTGTACCCGGTTAAGTATCTCTACCAAATATGAGCTCCATAAACAGGTTGGAGTGATCGGCACAGGGTTTAGGACCATAGGTTACATAAAGCACTATTCGGGATAACGTAAGAGAAAAAAAATTGGCAAAAAGTAAATATTTGTAACAACAAGAATGAAAAAACTGTCACATGGTGTACATTTCTGGAATAAAAGGAAAATTTCCATAACTTCAAAAATACAATACAATTTTTTTTTTTTTTTTTTTTCTGATAACTGGTGTGGCATTACCTATGAGAAAATTTCGACTTGACGTCGACTTTTGGGACACCCTGTATATGGCCGCCCGTCAAGGATAAGGATCAAATTAGTAAAAAACAGTTAATGATCAGACTTTCTCGAGCGCGTCAGATTGAGGTAGGCTAAGTTAGTTACATGCTAAGAAGTGTATATTTCACTAATCTGACAATTTGCAAGTAACGTAATGAAAGGGGATGCAAAGTTGTAAAAAAAAACATCATTTCGACATTCTCGAGCGTGACTGATATATTTTTATTTTGAAGGAAATAATTCAAGGCTGACGAAAAATATATAATCTGACGATTTCCACAAGCCGAAGTCAGACAAATTCGTCGATAAAGTTTCATACGTGCGGCTGCGTGTTGCCTATATTAGTTTAAAAATATTAACTATGAGTAATATTAACATAAAGTGTGTATTTTGTGGTGAAACTACTTTGTAAAAATCAATAAAATTTACATTATAAACATTAGAAAAATGTATAAATATTTTAGAATATCGTCGAAGTAAACCGGTTCTTCCGGTTAATTTTTATTTTTTATTCGTTGTAATATTTTTTTTTAAATTATTATATAATAAATACAAGTTCTACTTGAACAACATACACTTTTTGCTATTTTCAGAGCTTATCAATCAATTAAGTTCAATGATTTAAAAAAAATAATTATCAGATTGAGTAGTCAAAATGGCGATTTTTTTGCACATTCTAATAACGACCGCGAGTTTGCGTCACATCCAAATCGTCTGATTATTAGATGGGAGCTTTGTTTAGGTTCACTTAACACCCCCTTAGAAAATCTGGATATCATTTGACGCCTATCTTAAACTGATTTATAAGTATGGAATTCTTACGGCTCATGCCAACGAGACGTATTTTCGGAAAAACCGGGTCTACGTCAGTCATCAGTCTTGTATGGGACACCATGACGCCAACCACACGACGCCGGCGGGTTAAGCCGGCACTACACACATTACACTTTTTCGTGGTCATGAGCCCTTATAGCTAGCCCTAATATTCAGGATTGGCAAAATAAATTGCCTATGTCTTAGAAATATAATGTTTGTTATTCGCTTTATATCGACCAAAACCTTTATTTTGATTTAAGAATAAATAAATAAAACCATCAAGCATCATCATCGCTATATTATGTGCGTTTTCCAATTACAGAGCATTTTGCGACTCAGTGCCGCACAATGCCGCATAATGCTGAAGCTTAGTTGGAACGTGAATTAGTTTTCAAATGCATCAGCAGAGTGCGCTAAGTCAGTGTTGACAAAAAAATGGTCTGAATAGAGTTAGCAACCTCATTAATGTATAAATAATGTGGTAAACAATAATAGTTGGTTGAAAACTTTTTACGCTTAATTAAATAATCAAATTATTTCATTAAAATTTTTTTACTGAAATAAGAGAAAACCTTTAAAGAATATAAGGTTTTAACAAGCTAAATTAACAGTAAAATATTAAGTTTCATGTAAGAAGTTTACATCATTTACGTTTTGAGTAATATTTTTTAATGATTTCTAAAAAATTATATACTTTTTCAAAACCATTGCAATTTTTTCTAAAGTATAATCCTGTAAAGTAAATTTGTTTACAGATCCGAATTTTAAAATAAAATTGTATTCATATTTTAAATGTGGAATATAAAAAAAGTAACTATTTATACCTTCATCCATACTAATATTTTTTTTTTTTAGCAGTTTGAAATAACTTTAATTATTTTCAAAATCTACGACGAAACGAAAGCCTTACAAATTTTTCAACAATAAATAATATTTACTAACGAAAATTTCGATAAATGCCAACTTAAAGAAAAATACTGGTCAATTTTCTGTCACTGTGTTGGTATTGTTTGCGAGAGCATTCGTTTTGAGAGTGCTCAATTGTGCGAAGCGTTGCTGTAGTTGGAACACTCAACGTTGAGCATTATGCCGCAAAATGCGCTCTAGTGCTGTAATTGGAAAACGCACTATGATTTTACAATCTCCAAGCATTCATTGCTAGGTCACGAGTTTGGACTGGGTACCCAGTGTGTATAATCTGTGATGCGTACGATAATATAACCAACTCAATGTCATTACTATTATAATATTATATATATTCTTATTTCTAAGTGTCAAACTGTCAACACTCAACTGTCACTTCGAAATTATTAAATGCATTTCGCTGACGAAAATTTAAAATTTAATTAAGAATTCAGAATTGTAAGCTTGATTTGAGATTGTGTGATCTCCAAACATCTACCGCAGGATACACTCATCGTAATATCCTTAATGATAAAGATAAATTCAGCCAAACTTGTTGATTGTATTTTGGTAATGCGGACTAAGCGCATTTTTAAAAGAAACGAACTGTAAATAATGTTATTTTGTCCAACATGCGCAAATATTCTTATGGTCGAAGAGGGCCCAGAATCAATTTTAAGATATGCTTGTAACACCTGCCCTTATATTTACAATATAAAGAAAAAAATTTCATCTAAAACCTTTCCTAAACTAAAGGTTAGTTTTATGCATCATCCTCCGTCTATCATCATTCGCTTGCAGACCAGTTAACGATTTAAATTTACTTTATTTACAGGAACTTGACTATATTATGGGAGGGGCTGCTGCATGGGAGAATGTAGATTCAACTGATGCAGTTTGTCCGAAGTGTGGTCATAGTAAAGCATTTTTCATGCAACTTCAAACTAGGTCTGCAGATGAACCAATGACTACCTTTTATAGATGTTGTGATCATAAATGTGCCCACAACTGGAGAGACTAATTTGATAATGAACTATCTAAGAAAGTGTCAGCTCTGTCTCGGTTATTCATTCAAAAGTGTCACACCAAAAATTAAAATTGATAAAATGGCATCAATAATACCATGTGACTATGAAAAGTCTTATGCTAGAGCAGCAGAGTATCTGACAAAAGGTGAAGTTATAGCTGTGCCTACAGACACGATTTATGGATTAGCTTGTAGTGCCAATTGTAGAGATGCTATTAAAAAGTTATATTTAATCAAAGGAAGAGATTCCTCTAAACCTGTAGCTATTTGTGTCAATGATATTTTTGATGTTAGAAAATGGGGTAATGCTGAGCATCTTAGTGACGATTTATTACATGAATTGCTACCTGGTCCAGTGACAGTAGTATTGGAAAAGACAAGTCTCTTGGATAATCCATATCTCAATCCAAAGACAACAAAAATTGGTGTTAGAATTCCAAAACATGTCTTTATTAATAATGTTACTAGACAGTTCAATATGCCTATTGCTTTGACTAGTGCAAACTCTAGCAATGAACCTTCCTCCTTGTGTGTTAAGGAATTTGAACATTTATTTTCTAATTTAGGAGCTGTTTTTGATGGTGGTGTATTAAATCATGGTTTGGATCAAAGTAGAAGTGGATCAACCGTAATAGACTTATCCAAAATAGGGTACTATGATATTATAAGGAAAGGTATTTCATATGACGAAATTGTTAAAATACTAAAAGACCATGGTCTTATCAGTTGTTAAATAGTTATCTGTATCATTAGTCGAGGGTAACAGTGCGCCCGGTTCATTTATGGGGAATCGGGATATTTAATCATATATACATTTAAGATACAATAGACATAAAGCAGTGTAGGCTATAAGTGTAAATATTTAAAATTGTATGAGAATAAATCGACATACAATATTTGTAAGACCTTAGGCATAGATAAATAAAAGTAATCAAAAGTCAGAGTATAGCAATTGGTTTACTTTCCTTCTATATATAATACATAGCTTTTTGATATGGCAGTGAATTGAAATATTCTAACCACAAATAACATACAATTAGACTAGATAAGTGATGAGAAAATAATTTTTATTTACATTTGGGTTTCAACTTACACTGAAATAAATATTGCACAAATTTTTATTTAACAAAGACATGAAGAAAATTCTATACTATAGATAATATGTCATTTTTGTGTGCTCACTGGTTTTCTGTGGTTAGGAATCTTTGCTTCAAGGGCTTGCCAGCGCTCAGGAGGCCAGACTATACAAATAGCTCTTGCATTTACTAATCCTAAAGAAACTGGACCAAAAGTATTACTATCTAAAGTATGTCCCGTATGATCTCCTTCCACCCAGATATGACCTTCTGGCACACGCACATACTGGTTCTTATAACCTAATGTACTCACAATATCACCTTCTAGTGCAACTACTCTTTTTATAATTTTCTGATTTGGATCTTTAGGAGACACAAGAGAAATTATGTCTCCCCTATGAATGCTATAATCTTTCACTGCCCATCTTGATAGAAAAACATAGTCTGTATTTTTAGACTCCGGATTAAGTGCTGGTTGCATAGATATACCTTCAACCCTCGCCACATAGCCGATGGTATCAAGAAATGTGACGCCGATGGGTACTCCTAATAACATTGACCGCAACAAATTCCGGATCCACATTGGTGCCAGTAAGCCATTCACCGTCTTAACTTAAACCAACATATTTCGGTTAAAGTTTTATTTGTATTAAAAGAGAAACATTATTTTTTTAAGTTTTCTAATCACAATTGAATGGAATTCACATAATGGAGCTAAATTGGATACTTGAAAATTTTAAAGTTACGTTTGTTTAAATACCTACTCTAAATTTTTATTATTGTATTTTAAAGTTTAAACCTACTTAGATAACTGACAGCTGGTTTAATCCGAAATTCCTGTTAGCTGTGGCTGTCATTATGATAGCTGTGCCTGACGTATCACATATACGATCTCATGCATTAACCCATAGATAAAGTACACATTCGATTAAGTCTAAACTAAGAATAATTACCACAGACTTTTGTTTTCTTGGTTTGGTTTTACATTTTGTCAGGTTTTAATTTTAGTTGCTCTTATTTAATAATTCCAATAACTATCTCTGTCATTGGGATTATGAATAATATTTAAATAGGTTTTTATTGACAGCATTTTGTTAGATTTATTAAAGTTGTAATGAGTAAAATGACACATTATTTTCAAATTTATATTATTGTTGTATATTTGGTCTAATATATAAATATATTAGAAAAATCGTGTTAGGCAATTTACAAACTATAATTGACACCTATCGACTGTTAATACTTTAATTTGCCTGTATTACTTGTTTTGCCGTCACGTCAGTCAAGCTAATGAATGGCCATAGACAATAAAGTGTAGAGCTTCTGTAGTCTATTTCAAATACTCAAAAAAGTGTTGATGCTTTCTGTAGTAAATCACAACCACCATCAACTAAACATAAATTTTATATTATTTATTCGTGTGTAACAAGTTTAGCATCACAGAAAATTAATACAATAGTTCTTTTAGTGTCGTTCACTAATCTAAAAGTTTATGGAAAGGACTGTCTACAGATGGATGTGCTCCGTGGTGAAGAAAAACTTACAACCTGCATAATCAGCTGTCAGTGAGATAGATCATCTGTCCCTGTAAATATAAAAGCTAAAACAATCACAACACGTTTTCGACTGATAAGTGTAAATAATGATGTGAAGGAATATACAACAATGTGACCTCGACGCGCTTTTTAGCAGGCCTTGACGTTTAGTAGAAATGGGATAATAACCTATCAAGGTGCAAGGAGTCCAGAATGACCGGGCTCCCGTGAGAGTACGAAGAGTATTGCTATTAAGAACACAACCTACAGTGAAGATGTCTGGTGACTTCCCGTTTGCGGCGAAAGTAGTCACTCCATTAAAATGTAATGAGAAGCCATGGGATCTGTGGGTGAGTGAAATCGGCCACTTGTCTCCTCGTAGAGACAACGATGGCACTTTCACGACCCCTGCGGCGGTGGACGGAAAGAGCTCTTCCACACGCCGTGTTCACGAAGCTCACCCTTACAAGGTTGCAGATCGAGGCCAGGCGCGCTACCGTCGCGCAGGCCTCAATCGCCTTAAATATGAGAGTATGAGCCTTCACGGCTTGTTCCCACAGATGGACAATCTCAATGCTGCTGTGTGTCATATGTGTGGAGAAATAGTGAAGTGTAGTGCTGCGTACAGACATTTACTGGAATCCCACAACGGTGCTGAGCCAATTCTTCCACCTCCACCTCCAACAGTAAAGCTAAAATCTGTTCCTAGTAGAAGTAGACATAAGAAGGAACCACCTCCTCCACCTCCTGTAGAAATTCACCCTATGAAGTTGGAGAACTCCCCAGTGCCGGCTGCTGCTCCTATATCTAGGATAGTACTGCCACAACCTGATTTACAGTACCTGGAAGAAGCTAGTACCTCATCAGCAATAACTGGTGAAGTACAAATAAGTATGGAAAGTGGAGAGTTACCTGTTGTTAGTATACAAGATACAGAAGATTTACCCCTCGGGGAAAACCTAACGGATGATATTTTTGCAATAATGAACTCTGAAGGTATTCAGAGTGCAGATGACATTACAAATGCTGCAGATTGGAAGAGTATAATTAAGGATATACATGAGATTAATTTTCCTATTACAACAGATACCATACAGCCACCAGATTTGTATTCAGCAACATTAGATCCATCATTAGCTGGATTCCCTATTCCAGATACTGATTTAACAAATATAACTTTTTCTCAAACCACTGCACCTATGGTTGCAGTTGTAGATAATATACAAAATGCTCAAGTTGTTAAAGCACCGGCAACGCCAACCACAAAAACGCAGACGCGCAAAACGAAATTTAACTTACGCGAATACGATCCGAACAAGCATTGCGGTGTAGTTACAGCAGAAAACCCAAAGCCTTGCACACGATCTTTGACATGTAAGGCACATGCTCTTTCACTGCGGAGGACGGTGGAAGGTAGGGCAAAGCCCTTCGACACGTTATTAGCTGAGCATCGAGCATCCCGTGACGCAGCGGCTGCGGGAAATACATACACTCCTCCAGTCAGTCATACTCCTGTACCGGCCGTGGCTGCCCCTGCTCCGACCACGCCTGTTAATCTCCCACCGCTCCTAGTCAATACGTCCATAGACCTCAGCTTGTTTAACGGTTTAGCCACCGAGCAACAAAGCAATGACCTTTACGCGAGTTGGCTGAATGTAGAGGACCCAGTCCTACCTGATACATCTAGCATTACCTCTCTGCTTAGTCAACCCTTACCGACTGATCCTTTTCTGTTACCAGACGACGCAGAAATTCCTATAGAGGTCCCCGTACACAGTATAGCATCGGCGCCGCAACCCACTCCACCTATTAAAGAAGAAAAGCCTGATGGTCCACCTATCTTGATTCCCAGCGATGTATGCTGGTATAGTTCGTGTCCTCGACCTCTTGCTCTATGCACATTTAACGCTTCTCATGCAGGCAGCGCAATTACTTTAGGTAAGAAATTCGCGACTGTGCGTAGCAACATTAAGTCATCATTAACCCGGTCAACGAAAGCCTCAGGTGTGACGAACAATTTTTATAATCAGAGTTTATCTCTAACAAAGACTCTACACATGAATAACACTAATAAACCAAACAAACCTGAAGTGCGCAAACTAATAGTGACATGTTCAAATAGTAGTGGTAATAAAGATGTGCAACAGACGTTTAGTGATTTGTTTGCTGGTGATGTGCGACATACTTTAAATGGACATATAGGACACTCGGAACGCAAGCCGCGCGCTTCCTCTATCAAAGCAGCCAAGCGGCCCTCTGGAGCGATGCTAGATCTAGGTTTTTCTTTTGACCCATTGCTCGCTGATGAAAAATGCTGAACAATTTAAGCAATCACTGGTTGTGTAGTCACTTAATTGTATATTTATTTTTTTGTAAATCGGACTGGCATTGTAAATGTTCAATAATCACGAATTTTTATCCCCTAATGGAATTTGAATGTAAAGATGTTGTAAAATCTCATTTTTCTCTAAAAAGAACTAATGTTTGTATTATTTTGTATATTATTTATAAGATTTTTTTAATTGGTTTCCGGTTACAACACTGGTAATGCCAACGGAGAATTATGAAATAGATTATGCAGAATGGTTGTATTTTTTTGATATGACATTGTTAATACTGAATAATGAAAAATGGCCTAGGATAATGTTTAATGTGATGCAAATTTCCATGTAAAAATATAAATATTATTAAAATTAAGTTTATCCATAGTAAATTGCCTCCTTTTAAAATACCTCATCAAGTAAATTGTTTTAATTTATGTACACCTTTGATGGATTTGACATTGTTAAAATTTCCCACTGTGTGAAAGTTGAAACACTATTTGCTAACAAAGCTGGTCGTCTGGTATCCGATTTATATGAACTAATACTCAATTTCATCATCATTCATGTAACACTTATATACCCTGTTGAATAGGCATTAGGGCCACGTGATAGCTGCTTAGGCTTAATTTTATACAAGCGCATCGGTTATTAAAACTACTAAAACAATTTTTATAAGGACTAACAATTTTGATATTGGAAGAATCGCATTTTATGAAATCGAATTCCACAATTTCCAGTGCCCGATATTTACTTTATTCAAATTATTAATGAGTACTTATTCTTTCAATTTGGATAGAAAGTTTCCATCACGCATATTCTTTAATACTAAAACTTCGACTCTAATAATCAACCTTAAGTTGAAAACGTTGCAATGATCTTAGATTACCTTTAAAATAACTAGTTACAGAACTAATAAACCATGCGAACATTCTTAAAAAGACCATAATTTTTTTCTCCGCTTTCACTATACTTATAATAAACAATTTAAACCTTTAAAAATATTTGGACCACTATTAAACTTAAAACCGTAGCAAATATCCCACAGACAGTACTACACCATTATTAATAAAAATGTATCTTGGTTGATACCTATTTCTATTTTATGCACATAATAAAAAGGTGGTAAGAAAGCATGAAAGACTAGCGCAAAACATCGTTTATTTCTAAAATTTCACTTTATAGTTAAAAAAGTAAAAACATGTACATAAAGTATGATAAGCTGGTAAGTGCTTTAACAGCAGCAATTTTCCCGATGTCTAGGAATTTTCTTACTACGACGACTGATTAGTCGTTTGATAAGAAAGTGATCGTCTGTTTTGGGGAAGCTTTTATTTTTTAGTTGTTTGGCCTTTGGGGACAATGGGGCTTATAAAAAAATAACACCTACTTTTGATGATCGTTTTCTACGAAACAAAATTTCTTACGATAGTTTAGAAAATTAATTGTTTCGAAAACACTTTCAATTGGATCGTCTATTGACATTTCGATTTCGCTAGCCACCTATAAACTGACCTAGATTGACACAAGCCTTAGGCTCTTTTCCTAACTATGAGAGAATGTTTATTACATTCTCTCATCAAACAATTACTTAAGTATAAAATGTACAGTGGAACTTAATTATGGAGTAAACTAAAATTATATGTTTTTAAATTTTAATAGGTCGACGTTTAGTGTGTCTTATAGCACGTTTAGTGTCTTGAACAGCGTAAGTGATTTACATGCCTTAATTTGCGTATAGGTCAAAGAGGTTCTCACTGGAAATGAGAGAAAAAAAAAGGTGATGACCAGAAACCTAGACATGAAATAAGAGTTAACGGAAAAGAAACATTGCAAATAAGAAGCGCAAATGAGAAACAAGTGGAAGAATATGGAGGAGGCCATCACTCCTTCGGTGGTGGCGTAGTAGGTTTTTGACTATTTAATTTACAAAAATCTTAAAATTAGTGTTATATTAACAAATGAAATTATTCATTTTTGTGTTTTACATACACAGGAATTAAGGCAAGAAATTAGAACATTGAACTTTAGCAAAGTGAAAGATCTATTGAAAGTTACTGGATTAAGAGTTGGTATGTCTTCTGTAAATCATCTAGTCAAGAACTTTTCCTTACTGTTTAACAGAACATATTTGGGTCAGACTATAAGAGATGGATATGAGTCCATATATAGTAATAATAATAGTTATTAGTTAATATCGGTCGCCCTATAAATAATAGTATATTTAATTCTTTAATATTTCCAAATAGTTCCTAATCTGATTCAGTAGACAAAGTTTTATGTTAAATTGTTACATGTACGTATAATCCTTAAATTGATGTAGCTTTCATCTGTTTTAAAATTTAACATCGGTTAGGAAACTTTTGAAACACGTAAGAACAACAAAAATGTTTGATGTTCTTACGTATTTCATGATGATATTGTAATGTTCGTACTTAGTAATAATGTAGAATAATCACATATCCACTTTTAAGAAAAAGGAAACAAAAGACCAAGATAAAATATTTATTACAAAACACAAACAGCCAACAAACTAGCAATAGATATAATCGGTCACCGGCTATTTTACCTTACATTTTTAGTTTGGACCAATTTTTATGGTTTTAATCCACAATTGCACCCGTAGATGGCGCTGTACGCTAACAAGATAGGATCTAAGGGTAAAATTAAGGGTCGAGGCTTAGGGCTAAGTTTGTCTCAAGTATGAATGTTACCCTAACAGCTAAATGATGCTATTGTAGCGTACCCCCTTATCTAAAGTCGGGTAAGATTCGGTGAGGGATTACTTTATCAATATTTTGTATTCTGTCATTGAGAAATTGGAATTCTCAGGGGTTAGAAAACTTCGCAAAGTTATTGTCACCGATTTCTTGACAATTACTGTTGCGGAAATACAAATTGGATTAACAAATTTAGATATAGAAATTTAGACTTTAGAGGAAGATTTAATTTAGAAATTACTATTTAACAAATTATTCCTTGTCCATTGATATGAGGGTACACCAGCTAACGAACTAGATCCGCATAAATTAATTCCTTTGGATATTTCGGAGCCGTTCTGTAAACAATTTTATTTTAACACGGTTAACATTCAAAACAAAGGTGAAATTTATTTCGCTTTTCGCGAAAGAATAAACTAGTCGCGATGAAGTTAGTAACAAATTGAAGTTTTCTATATCATAGCTGAAGAAGTATTCTCTCCAAAATTATTAAACTCCTCTATTGGAAACTAACATATTTTAGTATAATGATAAAAATTGATTACAAATGAAACTAATACTAAAATCACTTCTTAAACTTGAGTTTTGCCTTCGTTTTAGATTTAACAATTCCCTTAAATTGTTGCGTTGTAACAGCCTTTTTCCTGTAAAAAAACAATATTAAATAGTAATTTCTTTTGAATTTCAAAAAGTATCCTTTCTTTGCTTCTACTGTTATATTTTTAGATTTACAATATAATTTAATTAATAATACAATCACAGGACACAGTTGTATTATTTATATTTATAAACATATATGATTATGCACTACTTTGATATTTTATATGTATTTTTGATACAGACACATTGTACGTAGAGTTTGTGAAAGTCGCGTTAATCGATCGAATCGAATGTCGATCTTAAATAAGTCAACTTTTTATTTATTTATTTCATAGTCATAAAAAAATTCAATTTTTTAACACTAAGGAGACTTGTCCATACACAATTAAGATATTAATTAAATACAACAATCAGTTAAGTTCGTTTAAAGGAATTAAATCATTTTAAACAGCTTACCTCTTATTAAGATTCTTCCTTGACAGTGGTAAGTACGTGTAGGGGTCAGGTTTACCTTTCTTCTTGATGTCACCCTTTGCTTTCTTTGAGCGGTAATCTGTACCCGCTGACGTCACTGATGCTGCAGAACTAAGGGGTCTGAAACATATAACAATCAATAGTATTAAAGTTATAGTAACTTTAATATTCTACAGTTTCGACGGTTCGCGTATTCCAAAGAATGGTTACGATTTCAGCGAGTCAAGTGATAGTGACGTTTAAAAATGCGAGACCAAATTAACATAATTCAAGTTTCACAAAGTATGAAATATTTGTACAATGTAAAATATACCTAAAAACAAAACTACGAAGTTGTGATGGAAATTCGTTTTCTAGATATTAGCGAGACTTTCTTTTTGTTCGTATTTTTAGCAATCATCTCAGCGAAGACACTTTTAAGGCCGTTCAAACATCAGCTTATATTAATAAAGAAATCTTAAGATTTCTTTAGACTTCAAAAAAGGAGATTAATTTTGACATGTATGTCTGTGATATTTTTGGAAAAAATACTATCCATATTTGAGTATGACTTACTAGTTAGGTTTCCAAGCAAGGTGCAAAATTTTGTTATATGTATATTTGTTTCAGTCAGTTCACAATTTTATAATAAGGTATATTCTTATGGAACAGTCCAAGTTTCATCAAAATCGGTTTAGTACTTTTTGAGACATCCACGAATTTTTTTCTTTACAGTTCAGAAGTATTTCTTTAGTCGGTTTAATGTTGAAATAAGTTCACAATTAATTGAGTTGGAAGCTATTTTGAGCAGGACCTTGTCTTGGTGCCCTTTGCTTCTTGAACAGTTGTTAGCTAATCAGTAATTAAAATAAATGTACATCTATCATTTCTTACAGACTCCAGACTTACTATTAGGGTGACACTGTGCATGACTTCTTTTAATTCCTCAACGAAACGTATAATTTAAATAATACATTTTAGAGAACGATTGTGGGAAGAGTGCCCAACCGAAAAAAGGTTTGAATTAAGATTTTATTAAAGTTTACACCTTTGAATAAAGTTAATTAAATAAAGTATCACCTACCGATGGATACCCTTTCCTCCAGCTTTATATTTGGAGACAACAGTGGCTGTAGACGCTCGACTTCTTGCTGTTTTACCACTCTTTATACTAAGAATGTCGTCATATTTGCGTTTGGCTCCAGTTTTCAGGAGTTTCGATGGTTTTTCTTTGCCTTCATCATCTGTCAAAATGATTTTTTTTAAAAATGGGTTTCATTTAGGTATGACATACGAGAATAAATTTTTGTAATTTGAAAACATTTTTAGAGTAAAGTTAGGAAAACCCCCAAAACAAAGTCACTGTACAATAAAATTTTCTTTACCTGTATCATCAGTATCTGTATCAATATCTCCACTAGGTTTGGTATCATCATCATCATCATCATCACCATCAAAAGCTTCATCACTGATGATGAGTCTTCCATCAGCTGCCGTCCTAAAACCACCGTCTTTCTTCTTTTGACTTTTTTCTTCCATAGATTTCTTCTTTTGTTTTGGATCCGTCGCTACAAAAAATATCATTCTTTTTGAAAAAGACTTTTATATTTTCTTTTCGTACAAAAACTATTATTCTTTCTATAATTCATAAAGCTGTTTTAATAATACCTTAAATAATGTATATAACGATTTTTGACAATATCACAAAAAAAAAAGTCGTCACTTGATTTAACAAATGTGTTAAGCACAAAGGCTTGCGTGGACGGAATAGAAAATAACCTGTAATCTTCCTAGAAGAGGACATATCAGCCAAGTCCACGATATTTTCGGGATCGTCTTGGATCCAAGCCTGGCTTCTTCCCTTTTTAGCTTTGGCCTTGGGCCGTTCCTCCATTTCCTCCAGTTCAGAATCTGAGTCCTTGAGAATGTCTTCCAAGGTCTTAGAGACACCTTTCACATGAAGGTTGTCATCCGAATCTGCCTCTTGATCCCTGTGACAAAATAAATGTGGCTGGATTAGTTTTGAAATTAGTAAGTTTTTGTATTAAGTGTTAGACGAACTTCACGGTCGCCTCTATGTTATACACGGGGAGGTCTTGATTCGATTTCAAAAGAAATGGTACACTTACCTAAAAAAATCAATGAGGCGCAATGATTGTCTTATTGTAAAGTTAAGGACGTACTAAATGTAACTACTAAATAACACGAAAATACTAGTCGTTTTAATTATTTTGGATCCATAAATGATTTTTATATTTAATAAATGAAACAAACAAACACGTGGAAACATTAATTATTAAATAATTAAAATATTTCCTTTGAAAGAGAGAAAGTGAACTCACCTTTGTCCGTCCTTCATTCTCTTCTTCCTATTATCAATCTTCCTGATATTTCTCAGCCTCCGCAACATGACTTCGTCTTCTCTTGGAATCAATTTTTCCACCGTTTCAGCGCCAAATTTCCTAGTCATTCGGGATAAGAAATACCCAATTTCTACCCTAGAGTGTCGCTTACAGTCCTCATTCATACAGGACAGTGTTCTAAATATGAGTGGGAGACTTCCCGCTATGACATCCTTCGGAATTACCTTTGTGTAGACCTATAATCGAAATTAATTTAATAAAAATCTATATAAAAAGCATGAGTCTCCTATACTTACTTATAAGGGATGCAAATTATATATTAACTTACTAGCTAGCAGACTCGGCCAAGCTTTGCTGTGGCTAAAGTTTTTGTTATATTACATAGTAGTAAACTATTCAAGGGAAACGGTAGGAGAACACCAGTCATGGGGACCACCATGCTCTTTTGGTGGTTATGCCATTAAATTGTAGCTTATTTCAAACGTTGGTACTTTCAACACAGCGCTATCTGTTAGAATTGTGACAATCAAATAATAAACAAATAATTTGCAATAAAATAATATTACGGGTATAAATGAAGATGTAAGCTATCCTATCTTTTAAGTTAGCTCAAACTGCACACAGTATACAAATTTGATTGAAATCGGTTAAGTAGTTTAGGAGTCAATAGCGGACAAACAACGTGACACGTCATTTATATATATGAAGATTTAGATATGTCATATGATTGACATGCTCTGACATTTTTCGAAGACAAGAACTCTGTACACAACATATTAAAATGTTTGTATATTTTTCTTGACACTAGCTTTCATGCTTAGAATCTATATATAATATACTACTTATACATATATATAATTTTTATATTCTAAATGTCATGTTACCAACACATCTTGCATTAAATTGGGTCAAAATCACTATAGGTACAGAACTACCAAAAACTACCAAAAATGTCTATCAAAATTAACTATGAAACATAACATGGTTCTTTTAGCATATTCACACCTTGAGAAAACTCATAGCAGCAGCGACAATCTCTCTGTTGGTATTCAGCATTTGCGCAGCCATCTTTTCCAGCAGCTCCTGAACAATTGTTAGACCCATATCTTCAGATAAATTGAAAAGTGCAGAAGCTAATGCTCTGATTGTAGCTCCAACTACCCTCGGAAGTGGTGCGGAGAGACCTGCTTCTAGCATTTCTATATACGCTGTCATACCTATAAAAAGATAAATAGATGAAACCAGTTAGCGCTTGATAGTTTTATGTCCTCAAAATTAGGACAAACAAATATCTATGAAAAGCGATGCCGTCCTCACAACATTGCCGTTCCAACAACACGACCAGCCAAATCGAGTAGATACAAAAAACAGAAATAATACAAAAAAAAAAAAACTAAATACACTATGACTGTGGTCTACCCCATGTGCCCTAACTAATCTTAAGGTTTTATCATCATAAGTAAATATAGTATTTTAAGTCGTAAGTTTTAAAATGTAAGTTAGAGTTGAGAATCCTAATTCCTATCCATTCTAAATTCAAATAATTTTCAACGAAAATATTTGAAATATACGTACTAAAAAACTTTTTTCACATAAATTAAGATCCAGAAATTCACTTACTAAGCTGTTAAAGTGCCAAGGAAATAACTAAAACGCAAATAACATACAAAATAAAGAAAAAAATAAAAATCACCTCCATCCCGAGTCTTCAATACATTCCCAATAGTGCTGATCAAGTTAAAGGCGCATTGTCTACACTTTGAATTAATATCCTTGGTGCATATAACCGCCTCCGCAATTGCTGACTTCAGTAGTTTGCTGTCTGCACTCAAATTTGGTGCAGATAGGCTTATAAAGTGTTCTATGCATCTGAAAAAGTATTAAATTTTATACAATAAATTGTCAAAACCTTAAAATCTACTTAGTAACCATCATTAATGTCTGCTTAAAATCCCGTTATGCTAAAAACAAAATTCTTTGAATACTTGCTTTATTCGTAAAGGCTCGGGGTTGATGCTAAATCTAATATATAAATTTCTCGTGTCGCGGTGTTTGTGGTTAAACTCCTCCGAAACGGCTTGACCGATTCTCATGAAATTTTGTGTGCATATTGGGTATAACTGAGAATCGGACAACATCTATTTTTCATCCCCCTAAATGTTAAGGGTAGTCCACAACTAAATATATTTTTTTTATTTTTAGATAATTTTTATTGGTTTTATTTATTTATGATACAGCATTAAAAAATACATACAACCCCTAACTTTCACCCCTCTACGATCAACCCCTATTTTTTATTATAAATGATATACATGGCAAAACGACGTTTGCCCGGTCAGCTAGTATTTTATAAAACGTTAGGCTGATTATGATATAGAATACAAAAATACGAGAAATATGTCTCTGTGAGCTACCATGTTTTACTAATTATAAATACAAAAGATCACGGAATCTTAAAAAAAACTTACCTTAACCTAGGTGCCTTACTGCTGTCAGCCACTTTATTCAGCGACGTCATTAAGAGTTTCTTGATCTTCTTATAACTCTCTTTTAGGAACTCTTTGCAACTCTCACTCTCGCTTTTGAAGATCTCTTCTAGAATCCTATAGGCCTTTTTATGTTCCATTTCTATTAATCTAGCTTTGTCTTTATGCCTTAATTTTGTTTGCTGAACGTCCGCTTCCATTTTACCGTTTTCTTTATTTTCTTCTATTTCATTCTTTTTGGCTTTCTTTTGATTCTTCGGGTTTTCGAGAACCGTTTCACACAGTGGATAAACCCATTTCTCAAATAAATTGGCTATTTGGGCACTATTTTGGTACAGAACAAGTATTCGAATAATATCTAATATTGATTCGCGTTGAAAATGATTGTTTTCTGATGTTTCTAGCTGTTTTACTGAGTTATCGAAGAGTTCTTGCCGTAGCGACTGATCGCTTATTGTTAGGTAAACCTGTGAAACAATAAAATGAATAAATCATAAAAATTAAATCAGTATTATTGCAGTTTTAGCAATGCAATGGACTATCCGGTCAGTTATTAAATATATTAACGTTAAGCGACATAAAAAAACAAGTTGAAGAATTATTTTTATATGCATTTGTTCCTAATAGGACTATATTAATATACCATAATATACAATATACAATATTAAGATTGTATTATTCTGTACAATAAATAAATAAACATTTGTATTTACACTATCTTAAGGGACAGACGATTCTTGATGTGAAAACAATGTAATAGAACTAAGTTATTTTTAATAACGAACAGAGCTTACCCTAAACAATAATCATAATCCAAATCTTATTATCTCTATCTTTATTTTACAAAGGTAACTTAAAATATATATGTAAATTTTTTACCTGTATAGTGTCCAATGCTGCCAACCGCTGTCCCTCCGCCGTATTACCTTTCGCTGGCGTCATATAAACATTCAACAATATCGGGACATAATTTTTCGCATATTTTGCTAATTCCAATTTATCTTCCTCAATTTCCGCAGAAGAAATCAACTTCCTTAACCCCGCCATAACTGACGACCTAAACTCCGGGTTATCTTTTAACACAGACCCTAAAACTCTGGCCATCATTTTAAAGCTATCGCTTATATCTTTCGGGTTATTACAAAAGCTAGGTAACAAGGCCCATAATTGATTGCACAAAAGCTCATACGTATGAGACCCGGGAATATCTTTAGCGTCGGCTAGTTCACGAGATTTTCGTCTGCAAAATGTTGCCATCTCCAGAATTTCTGTGGCGAAAAATTTAATGTTCGAATTCGTTATTTTCTCCTTCAATACTGGGTAAAAGCCAGCTTCTGTCCAGGTTTATTGTGTCATCCACTCGTATTGGGATTATATTTAATACAAATTCAGGTCCTAGAGATTTTATGGCGCAACCGGTGGCATATTCCGCCTCTTTCTCGTTAAAGAAATTGTGGCTTTCGCGTCGATCGTTTAATTTTTTTAATAGTGGTCCAAGAGCGAATGCGATTTTATCATTTCCAATCTGATATAACAATTAAAAATAGAACAGTTATAATATATAATATTGTTAATAACAAAGTTCAAAAAAAATATTTCGTGACTTCAAACTTTGACCATGTGACTACAAATTATGTTTGCATAAGAAAATGTCGGTTAAACAGTCACAACTCGCTACGAAACATCGAAACAGAAAAAAAAGGCAAGCTAAGTGTTTTACGCATATTTACCGATAAATTTATCTTTTACAGACTTTGCTCGACATTTTAAATGTTAAAACCCAATAATTACCTCAAAGCAGACAGCTATTGTCAATATAACATGCTTAATAGCTTGGTTGAATGGATTATCCAGCCCAGTTCCAATAGCCTTGAAAATACCCTCGATGTGAGCTTTGTGCTTCAGAAGGGACTCTTCTGACTCCACAGCTAGCTTTACACAGTCTAAGAGTATGGCCTAAAAATAAATGGTCTTATATAAACATTCCAATATTGGTAGGTATAAAAAATTACACAATTCAAGTCAGTGAAGTGATACTAAACTGATAAGGGCAAAATATTCAATAGTATATTTAAAATTCTATTCAAAATATTAATTATATTTATAATAAGGAAGAAAAGTGGGAGTTTGTTCTTAAGCCTGAATTGATATTTGTAAATATATTGTTTGCAGTTTTATAAAAGATAATTATTATATCCTACCCAGAGAAAGTAAAGGACTCTAGGAGACAGATATATTGGCTGGATTCACTAATTGATGTGGAACTAAAGAAACTAAAGAAAGTGAACAGTAAATTTATTAATTTGTGTTATGGTTTTATTTACAAAACACAAAAGATAACACTTTTACTACTTTCCATTAAAACATTAAACAATCTAAATAGACGATAAAACATAAGTTCGAAGACTTACTTTCAGTGCGTTGGTAGAAGCGGCGTTAACTTCGGCAACGTCTGAGAGCCACAACTCTGAGACACAGATATTCACAAACGACGGCAGATTCGGTATACAAAGATTTAAATCGAGACTGAAATGTAATTTATCTAATTTTTATTTATGAAATAAAACAGAATCATATGATTCATCTGGTTTATACAAAAAGATTCTGAAGTTAAGATTAGTTAATAATCTCTTATATTTGTTAGTTCATTGATATATAGAAGCTTATATGCAAATTTAGATGGCAACACTTTACAATCTATTTACCTGTTTAACGTGAATACGTACAGTGCACAAAAAATATCTGTAACTGGAAGGTGTTATCCTCAAAAATCTTATGTTAAACATAAGTATTCATCATCGCAAAAATAACATGTTATAACACTTACCCGGCTAAACATCCATATCCCTGTTGCAAGACAGTGGTCCATGCTAAAATCTGTCCGGTATCATTGGCCGGGGGTCGAGCAGCCATCAAAGCCCTAGTCAACTGCACGGCCAAGTTACCCGTTATGTTACAAATATCTTTTGGGGCGTCGAATAACGCGTGCAATGTATGAAGACAACAGGTTTTTATGTATACATTGTTGTGTGTCATTAGGGATAGGATCGCTTCACATATCGTCTGAAATGGTAATATTATTTTGGATTTAAATCGTAAGACTTCATTTGGCCGTAAAAGACAACAGTTAACATTTTTCTAAACAGTTATAATTTGTTTTAGATAATTTTCAGGATGTTATTGAAATAAACAAAGTACATAAAGCATAATTAAATAATGTATTAAACAATGCGAAAAAGTCATTTTTGATTAGTATAACATTTTCTATTTTTTCAAAAAAGGTTAATAATAACTTTGTCACCTACATAGTACAAACTTAATGTAAAGAATTTTAAATTACCTTTATATTATCCTTGCTGAAAACTGGCAACACATCGCGCAATAATGTCAAAGTGTGCAACACTGTTCTGTGGCCAGAGAGTAATGCTTCTGCATTTATTTGAGATAAACAATAGTCTGCAACACGGTTGGATGCTGGATGTAATTTGATTACCTACACAAAATTATATTGTTTTATATAACACACTGGATTTTATATATAATATATACACTTTCATTCTACTTTATAAAATTGTAGAACATACATATTACATAAAAATAGGCACAGCCAATAAGCTTAATCAAAAGCTTGAAGAACTTGCTTAAAAAGTGTAATACATATAGACAAAAGAGATTACCTTATTATTATCCTCTGAAGGGATCATAAAACAACTGCCACGTAGAACTGATGTCACACCATGTTGTGCTGCCTTTCTAACCTAGAATTTTTCACAAAACATTAATTTATAACATACTTATATCTTCCTCTTCTTTTAGAAATTCTTATGGACCTAAACTAAAAAAATATTATTCACACTTATACTCCTCATAGGTTTTCTTGAGTACAACATACCTTTCATATTTTTATTTCCACCATTACTAAATTACTTCAACATTACTATTTTTTTTTTGGTTTAGTGTAAATAAAAAAATCTCTCTCACTTACTGAAAACATACTAAGACCATTTAAACTAGAATTAAAATGATATATATGTACAATATTTACCTTTGGCTTAGAATGAAGAGCAAATGCAAGCACACAGTCAAAGATCTTCATAGTAGAGGAACTACCCCATAGTGCATATTCTTGTGCTCTTAGCAAGACAGAGAGACAGCCTATGGCACTTCGTAACAATGTGCCATTTTCTGTCTGTTCATTTTTCTCCAGTAGTTCAGTAAAAATAGTAGCTGAATCTGAGAACTGTTTGCGTAGAACGGCTTGTGGTACGGATTTTATCCCCATTGATAGTAAAGATATAGTTGCAACTAGGCTTTCTTCACCTTCTGACGCTTTAAGTGCTTGCATCTGAAAATAAACAACTGCTTTTAAGCAAGATGGCCACAGACCATGGCACTGTACCTATCAATGTAAAGGGAACGACCTCACTCAGATCGTTTGTTTACTATAAGTATACCGCAAGGATCCATACTAGGACCTTTTATATAAATGACCTACCATTTCTGATAACAGAGCATCACAAAATATATCACTCACGAATAACTGTTTGAAGTTGACACTTCGATTTTATTTATACATCACTTAAAAATGTAAACAGTGCAATCTTCTATGCAGTCTATTTTAGTTATTTTCATAGTATTATGTCTTGTGGTATTCTTCTGTGGGGTAATGCAGCTGATATTCAATTGACATTTGTAATACAGAAGTGGGCTATTGTAGTGATCTATGCCGTATCTCCAAAATCAAGTTTTTTTTTAAAGAATTGTTTATTTTAATTTTAGCAAGTCAATATATTTATAAAAATATGTACCAAAAAATATAGATTGATTAAAAAAATAATAGTAGTTTCCATAACTATAATAATTTTAATATCATATCACATCTCACATGTGCTGAGGAGCATGATGAAATGGTTGCAGGTAAAACAAAACCTTGGCAATTTAAAAGAGTGACAGAGCTTTCATGGCCAGTTCTACTCATCCATTCAACGCCCTTGTTTTGAGAACAGGCAGTAAATGTAAATTTAGAACAATGAATTATTTTACTGATTTACAGACATAAGAATTAATTTACCTACATGAATGAATATTGTTTTTTTTATTTTTATATTTGACCACTTCTGTAAGTGTACTGTAACTGTAAAAGCATGGTACATATATATAATGCAAAAAAGGTAAGTAATCAGTAAATTTCATACCAAAGCAGCAAAATATTCTGTAGTTGTTTCCTTTCCTCCCTGTTCTTTGATCACTTCAGTAACAGCTGCTAGCACAGCCAACATCTCTTTATGCACTGCATTGTTTGAGTCAAATCTTGTCAGAAGTCTGGAATATTTAAATATAACATTTCAGAGAGTAAATGAATATACGTAGTCGGTCCCAAAGTTCTGTCATAAATGGAAATAATGATAAAAACAAAAGTACTGATCAGTTTGTAATGAGTGATATATCAATTCTTAGTACATTAATTAAGGAATAAAAAAAGCATAAAAATATTCGAAATAACCTCCCTCATTTTTAATACAGGCCCTTAAGCGTCGCGGCCAGTCGTCTATCGCAGCACGCACCATATTCGTGTCGATTTCAGTCACTGGTTTTTTTAAAGATGACTTCAGATTCTCCAAATTTTCATGAGGTTTATCACAGACCTTCCTCTCTAAGCCCTGTCATAATTTCTGGTCCAAAGGATTAAGGTCCGGACTGGAGGAAGGCCAATCCTCATGTCTAATTAAGACGATGTTTTGACGCTCAAACCAGGCTTTAGTGGTCTTGGCTTTGTATGCAGACGCAGAGTCCTGCTGGAACACAAAGTGATGTCCCGCAAATAGGGTGCTGGACATGTCTTTGACAAGGCGATACAAAACCGTCTCTTGGTACACTGTAGCACTGGTTTTGACCCCCTTTTCGAAAAAATTAACCTCAGTTAGCCCGTAATAGGACACTCCCAACCAAACCATTACTGATGATGGATGATGTCCATGTTGCACCCTTGGAACTTTATTTTCAGCTTCTTCAGAACTCCTAGCGTACACTGTATAATTCTGTTTATTGTACTTCTCTTCAATATCGAAAAATTTTTCGTCCGTAAAGAGGATATCACGGTGTCGGTTTTTCGCGTACCGCTTAAACAACACCCGCGATCTCTTAAGCCTTATTGCTTTTAGACGAGCATTAAGTAAGTGCCCACTCTTTTTTTTGTATGCTCGTAGACCAAGATCTTCATTTAAAACCTTTTTTACTGTTTTCCTACTGACACCCATCTGCAAATCCATCAACTTCTGTTTTCGGACAGGATTTCTTACTATCCGCGCCTTGATAGCTTTGATTACTGCTGGTGTTCTTGCGGAGCGTGGCCAGCCAGTTCTTTTCTTGTCCTCAACACTGGAGACTTCAAGGTACCTATCAATAGTACCGTACACAAACCTAAGCGTTATATTCAAATTTTTGAGCAACTTGAAAATGATACTCGGCGAGTGTCCACAGCGGTGCAACGCTATAACAACTATTCGGTTTAATTTCAATGTCCACTCCATCGTGAAAAATTACGGAAAGTTATTGTTTTTTGTTTTAAAACAATAATCAAACATTCCAAAATAGAATGCAATAATTTTTTTATAAAATCCTGCTCGAAATGTAGAAATAATGTGCTAGTGACAGAACTTTGGGACCAACTACGTATTTTATATCAAATTATAGTAAATTTGTTGTGTTGGTCTCATCCCTGAGATCATGCATTCAAATCACTGCCGTGCGCCAATGGAATATTCATTCTATGTGCACAACTAACACTGACTCCCATGGCATGCCTCAAACAAAATATTGATAATAAGTTTCAGACACAGAAGGGTCTTCACCTATTTGTTTTTTTTAATAATAAAAACGAAATACTGATGCAATCTTAGATCGAGACCCATTCAATTTCAAGGTTGTAGTGCCTCTAGCACTATAACTATTAAAGTTTTTAATTCAGATCAGCTATTGAACATATTGAATAAAGAAATAATATGAAAAGGTTTACTTTATTTACACTTACTTGCTAAAACTAATATTTGAACATTGACTCCAATCCGAGGCAAAAGTCTGGAATGTTTTAAAGGTGCCAGACTTTTGTGAACCAGTGTATTCAGTTTCATCATCTTCACCAGCACGAACAGACATACTCTCAAATTCTTTACTTATAACATCTTCATCTGCTTTCTTACTATGTCCGTAGAGAGTAATAGCATCATGTTTTTGTAGAGCTTGCTGTGTTAGTCCGGAGCCACCTTAAATTAAATCTCCAGGTATTGAGATGTTATACTAAAACTATAAATAACACTTGGATTCCTGAGGTACGGTTACAATTTTTTTTAAACTTCTTTATGTAACACTTAAAGGTATTTAATCTTTTAAACATTAATCTAAAATACATATAAAAGTTTTACCTAGGTTTTCTTGAAAAAACCGGGACTTTGCTATTTCCCGGTACTTTTGAGTTTTCGGATTTGAATTCGAAGAATGGCCCTTCTGCCATCTCTTGCCCTTTGATTTTCCCTTTATTTTGGATCTAAATTTCCCCATGGCTTAATTTTTTTATTTCATAGCACTACAAAATCAAAACACACGTGGTTTTCGTTCGCACTTCGCACTTCGCAGCACAGCACACATTGCACAACTAACACTTGACAAATTGACAGTTCACTACTGACTTAGCTACTCACTGTCACTGAATGCAGCAATAATTAGCAAGAATAATCAACACATAAGAGAATAAAAGAATTACTCAATTTCTCAAATCTGTCAAATCACGACAGAGGCAATATTATTTTTATTGTTGTTATTACATAATTGATAAATATAAACTACGTTTGCTAAAAACCACTCATTACATAAGTTAAACTATAGCTTGATAAATAAAAGTTTTTAAAGTTGACTTGTCGGACAACTCCACAGAGTACAATCTCAACTGTCACCTATGCCTACTATGACTAGTTTCAATTATGTAAACTGTAAAGGAACATCACTAGGAAGTTTTTCTCAATAATATTTTTTCTTCATTCAACTCGCATTCTTGTTTCATTGACGTTCCGCTTGTTTGTAAATAATAACCGCTGGAAATAGTACGCAATGTGAAATACACGCATTCCTCAACCGCAACTGTACATTACGTAAACATTTGCTACTGTTAAACAAATCCGTAATTTGGTTAATATAAGTCTAACCTATTCCTATAAAATTTCTAAGAAAAAAATTCTTTTTTTAATGTGAAATGTGATAAAAAAAATGCCTCCGTTTAGAAGGAAGAAGGCCTCTAAATCATTCCCAGTTAAAGTGTGTACATTGGACGCTGAGTTGGAATTTAATTTAGAGGTAATGTTCTAAAACATTGATTAAAAAATTCATATTAGAAATAATGAAGTTAAGTTTTATCGTGAAATATCACAATAGGTTCATTGTGTGAGTCATGCCATGACCCAAGGGTCAAATATCTTTAATTTGCACATAACTTTACGTATAAAGTGTTATATTGCTATCAATTATTAAATTACGTATTTTGACGATACTTTAACAAGAATTCATATATAATTAATAAAAATAAAAAATTATATACAGTTTAAAGGTGTAGGGAATGTAAAATAACTGAACCCTTTTTAATGATTTTGAAAGGTTATTGGTATATAAAGCAGTTTAAGGAGAGTATTTTGTGGATTACAGTGATAAGGACATTTGATTCTGATTAAATAATTAAATAAACAATTACAAACATTACTTTTTCCATTAGTTGAGGATAACGTGGTGTGGAGGACATTATGGTAAATTTTTTATATCATTAGTGAATTTAAATCATTTTAGTGGCGAGCAACTGGGAGAGATTTGTTTGACCTGGTATGTAGGACTATAGGACTAAGGGAAACATGGTTTTTTGGCCTTCAGTTTGAGGATACAAAACATTTTATCAGCTGGCTAAAATTGGATAAGAGAGGTAATTTTTTAGTGTATGTTCTTGAAATTTGGTTACAATAATATCATGTTCAATAACAAAATTCACCAGGATATATATATGTATACAAAGCTTTATATATAATACAATGTGCCATGAAAGTTTAAAAATGTAACAACTAGATAAGAACAATCTGATTTCCTTTTGTTATAATATGTTATTATAAACTGTATTACCAGAGGTGAATTTAAAATTTACTATACTCATAAAAATAAGTAAGTTAATATTATCTAATTTTTATACATATTTCAGTGCAAGATCAATGTGTCTCTCAGATGCCAGGCACTCCATTCATGCTATTGTGCAAGCTTTATCCTGAAGATGTTGCAGAAGAACTTATCCAGGAGGTCACACAACACCTGTTGTTCTTGCAAGTTAAGCAGGCTATATTAAGTATGGATATATATTGTCCACCAGAAGCATCAGTTTTGTTAGCTAGTTATGCAGTCCAGGCTAAGGTGAGCATAGCTTTAATAAATTTATAAAAGTTAAGTCTTATAGTTAAAGTATAAGTTAAATATATATAGATATATTAAAACCATTGGATGTTTATGAGAAATCTTAATAATTGGTTTAAAATTAATAAAAATAGTTAATTTGTGGGTTTTATATGTATGTAACAGATATAAAATCCCACAACAACAGCCTATATTGCTAGAAACTGCAGTTGTATAAAGAATGATTTCTGACTGATTCTGAATATTACATAATTTTTGTCATATTTTTTGTACTCTATGGGCCTAACTTAACTTATAATTTTTAACCATTCATAACTTATAGAATTTATTAAAATTAAAATTTATTTTCAAAGTTCACTATAGGAAAGTGACATTATCAAAGAAAAAATCTGTAAAGTTTCAGAATCTACTAAAAAGCATTTTATTCAATAAAACAAGCTGTAGTGGAACAAATCAAAATCTTTAAATGCACTTTTCCAAAATGATGCGTTTGATTTACTGAGGGTGCGATTTGTACCTTTGGTATAATTTTCTATTATGTATTCAAGAAAACAATCTATGCTACATGCAGACCTCATGTTAACAAACATCAGTCCAAGTATTTTAATTGCTTTTACTCATATTAATATATTTTATTGATATTTCAGTATGGGGACTATGATGAAAGTGCTTATAAGCCGGGTATGCTCGCCAGTGAAGATCTTCTGCCTCAGCGCGTCATCGATCAGTATCAGATGACCCCTGAGATGTGGGAGGAAAGGATTAAAATATGGTATACTATTTTGTGGTGTTTCTTGGATTATCAAAATCAAATCAAAAGTAACACGAAAAATATACTTTCCTTTCAGGTATGCAGATCACAAAGGTATGTCGAGAGATGAAGCGGAAATGGAATATCTCAAAATAGCCCAAGATCTGGATATGTATGGAGTTAATTATTTTGCTATAAATGTAAGTAAATAATTACCTTTTGCCTATTGGGGTACAGCTTGTGTATTATTTCGAAGTTATGGGTACAGCATGTGTATTATTTCGAAGTTATGGGTACAGCTTGTGTATTATTTCGATGTTATGGGTACAGCATGTGTATTATTTAGAAGTTATGGGTACAACTTGACTGATATAAGCTAATTAATATTTGTTTAGAATTCAAATCATGCTATGATAAAACTACTTTTATGAATGTTAGAGGGAAATGACTTTGTATAATAAAAGCACTCAAACAATATTTTATGTATGTATGTAACTCATGGGTTTTTTAAACAAGAGAAAAAATTACTGCTTCTAAAAAATTATAATAAAATCTTTTTCTTTTCAGAACAAAAAAGACACAGATCTCTATCTAGGTGTCACAGCTCTAGGTTTAAACATATATGAAAAGGACAATAAACTCCAACCAAAAACTACCTTCCCATGGTCAGAGATCAAACATATTTCATTTGACGATAAAAAATTCGTTATCAAATTCGTCGATAAATCAGCAAATAACTTCATTTTTTTCTCTCCAAAAGGGATGAATAAATTGGTAAGTTTATCGCGTCATTTCATTAGCGCGCCCATTGTGTAATTTTTGCACAACATTAACGAGTGACAAGAAGACGACGATAAAAGGCTTTTCCAACTATTCCATCCAAACGGTAAAAAAGAAAAATTATTCGCTATAGAAAGAATAGTCTAAAATTTTGGTCCTTCGATCCGACTGGTGTATCTGAAGTGATTTCCACACGGGGCTCTATAACCTATATATAGCCTTACCTAACCTAGCCTATACGAGAGGCGGGACGCCGTTATCGCATTTGAAATTACAATGATTATTATCTATATTGGTCACATTACCTTTTCGTACATATTACATTATCGTTAACAGGTCACACCGAAAGATAATATGTAACCTGTTGTAGATATTGGACCTGTGCATCGGTAACCATGACTTATACATGCGCCGGCGCAAGCCTGACACTATGGAAGTGCAGCAGATGAAAGCTCAGGCCAAGGAGGAGAAAGTGGTAAGTCTACTTCAAGGACATTTTTTTATTGCTATGTAAACGTGTGCTCAGTAAACGACATTTTTATATCTACATTGCCTTAAACTGATAATCATAAAATACTGTCTAAGCAGCAAGGGAACGAAATTTAAATGAAAGTAAGCATGATGTAATATTACTTTGAATTTTGTGCAAATAAATACATATAAAATTGTGTTATAATTGATATTCTGTGTCGTCATTATAGAATCCTTTATTATTAATTGACTTTCGGCCAAGCTAAAGTTTTACATATATTTCTCTTGTAAATTCCAATCTTTAAAATAAATATTTAGAAATCCGTCAATTAATCGGTCTGGGTCAATCGACAAACTACGAAACGAGGTTAATTAACATATCTTAATATATATAAATTACGTGTCACGTTGTTTGTCATATTGATATCAATCAAATTTGCACACCGTGTGCAGTTTGATCTAACTTAAAAGATAGGATAGCTTACATCTCAATTTGTACCCGCAATATTATTTTATTGCAAAATATTTGTTTATTATTACAGTGAAATTAGTCTCGAGAAATTTTTGCATATGTAGTGGTGTGTATATTACTCAGATCTTAGAGCGCGTTTCCACTATATCGTTCTGGCCTATACAAAAATGTTTCGATATCCTAACATTACTATTTAATATTATACTTATCCCTAGCAACACTCTGATTTTTGTTATCAATAAAAACAAGTTTTTATTTAAAAAAAAGGTTTTGATTTATAAAAAAGGTGTGTGCGCGATTCACACACGATAGAAGTGAAACTTCAAAGAGGAGAGACCGAAATTTTTTTTCCTTTCATCTAGGTTTTTAAAACTCCGGGGGTCTACGGGGGGTCAAAATTTATTTTTGGCCTAGGACGCACCGTTTCCGAGATATTTCAATCTAAAGCAAAAAATCGTCACTTGATAGTGGAAAGTGGAAACACGCACAAAACCAGAATAAACCAGTTTACGCTGTCCGCAGGTGCCACGTGCAGTCCGGCGTCAGTCGCTTGGTACTGTTAGAACATAAAGCACACATTTCATTCAAAAATTATAATTATTACGTTAATTGTTAAATTTTGTATTTGTTGATTGTGTATGTTTGAATTGTTATAATATTTGTTGAAGTGTTTAATTTGTGTGTAAGTGTTGCAATTTATATTGTTAATTAAAATGGTCCAGTGTTAAAACATGGTCGAGGCAAGCCTTTGACTTCTCAAACTAAAGAAGTTTTGTACTGTTTGTACAAATATTTCGAAAATGAGTGTAATAACAACCCGAGCAGTATTATGACTACTCAATTAGTTGCTAAATCAACGGGAATTTCAATAGCATCCGTCAGAAAGGAGATAGAAAGCAAAGTCGACCTTCAGATCAGGAAGTAACATTTAAATCTCCTAAAAGAAACCGAATCGTAAACCTACAATAGTAATCGATAACTTTGATCAGCAAGTTATCAGAAGAACAATTCATGACTTCCACATCACAAATAAAGAAATTCCACTTTGAAAACTTTGCACGCAAAATTAAAAGAAGATATCGATTATAAAGGTTGTGTCAGCACGTTACGAAAACACGTCATGTCATTAGGTTTTAATTGGAAGCAAACAGAAGATAACCGGAAACTTCTTATGGAAAAACACGAAATTAGAACTTGCGAATTAATTATTTGATGAAAATTGCTGAAATCGTGAAAACGCCGACCAATTGTTTACACCGACGAAACATATATACAACATCACATACCCTCTCGAAATCTTGGTCAGATGGAAGCACTTCAGGTTTGAAGCAACATATATCGAAAGGCAACCGCTTAATCATTGTTCATGCCGGTGGTATGGATGGCTTTATACCAAATGCATTGCTTATGTTTAAAGCCAACCAAAAAGTGGAGATTACCACGACAATATGAATATGACAACTATTCAAGGTGGATTCAAACTCAATAATACCCAACTTACAACCAAAGTTGTTGTTGTGACAACGACCATATCATAACTCAATACAAAATCCTGCACCGAATAGTAATTCTAGAAAACAGCAAATGATTGACTGGCTGACATTGCGAAACATTGAGCATTCATCCACGTTGCTTAAGCCTCAATTAAGAACTGATTCTGCAAAACAAGGCGAGATTTGTAGAGTACAAGATAGACGAAATATTACGACAGCACGGTCATACTGTGCTGCGTTTACCACCAACCATCCGGAGTTTAATCCTATAGAAAATATATGGGGGATAGTGAAAACATAGTCCAAAAAAGAATGTCGAATGAATATGAAGGTTATAATGTCATTAGCTGAAGAAAAAATGAACGCCATAACTGTAGAGGAATGGAGAAAAGTTTGTCGGCTATGAGGAGGAAAACAAATATCAGGGTAGAGACGCAGCTTTAGACACAATATCAGAACGAATCATAATTAATTTAAATAATTCATCTGATGAAAGCGAGGATGGGGATGAGGAAGTGGGGTTGATGAATTATTAGAATAAAACATTTATGGCCGGAGAACACCTAATTCATACACGTCTTCACTGGAAGTGAAAACCGGATATGTTGTAAATTGGAACTGCAGCCTCATACAGTTCCTAGATTACAATGCAGTGGATACACATTTTCACGTCCGTTAGAGTAGGGTTGCGTAGATTAGATTTGGGGTAGCCACAAACGTATATTACCTTTAAAAAAATAAAAACTAAAAATAAAATTTTTTTTTTTTGCTGACCATACACTACTACAAACGCAAAAATTTCTCCAAGCTAATTTACCTGTAATTGATAGTCACAATTCCAACAGATGGCGCTGTGTTGAAAGTACCAACGTTTCAAATAAGCTACAATTTAATGGCATTACCACCAAAAAAGCATGGTGGTCCCCATGACTGGTGTTCTCCTACAGTTTCCCTTGAATAGGTTACTACTACGTAATATAACTAAAACCTTAGCCACAGCAAAGCTTGGCCGGTCTGCTAGTACTATTATAATTTATAAAAATGCACTTGATTTGACATTTTCAGCGTCGACAAGTAGAACGCAATAAATTGGCTCGCGAGAAGCAACTCAGGGAGGCAGCGGAAAGGGAAAGGGCCGCGATGGAACAGAGATTGTTGCAGTACCAAGAGGAGATACGTCTTGCTAATGAAGCTTTGGTATGATATTTTTTTCATTTAAAAAATTTCGTTTTGTTTTGTAAACTCTATGTTTTTATATCGGGTTTTTTTTTATGGCTCTGGCACGGTTTGTGCATTAGCCAGCGTCGAGTATAAGATTTTTATAATTCGTGCTTGCCTTAAAAATTCGACCATGACCTCCATATACGGTTTAGGCACTCGCTCGGTACCGCACAACCCTCCCAAAGGCCGAGAACAAATTTAAATTAAATTAAAACTTGCCCTCGAACCGGGAATCGAACCCGGTACTATCGGGTTTTAAAAACAAAATAGTCTACATTTTATATCTATCCATATATAATAGAAAGGGACAATACATTTTTTTTTAAATTTTTATGTTTTAGTATTATTTATTAATGTACTCGTATATATGTAAAATTTGTTATGTTATTTTTTCTCGTAGTTTACTATATAAAAACTGTTGCCTTAGCTATAAACAAATTGTAATATAAAAAAGAAGGAACATTATTATTATTTTAGCGTCGTTCAGAAGAGACAGCAGAGCTGTTAGCTGAGAAGGGAAGAGTGGCGGAAGAAGAGGCATCTCTTCTAGCACAGAAGGCGGCTGATGCTGAAAGGGATAATGCTCGATTGAGGTTGTCTAACATACGGACTGAAGAGGAAAAGGTAGGAAGAAATAAAGAATAAATGTTGTAAATTATTTAAATATTTTAAAATGATTTTTCTTATTGTTTATTTTATAGCAATAGAGTGTCAAACTTCAAATAGTAAAACAAGGCTTTCATAATATTTAAAACGTGATTTATTTATTTATTCATAAAAGCTTGCCAACGCTTGGCACACTGATACATTGACAGAAGAAAAGTAAAATACAGTTTTTAATGTGTCAAGCACTTACAGGCAAACATATCATACAAGAAATAATAAAATTAATTGAGCAAAACAATTTAGCTTTGTTTGATTTTCTAGAACACAGGCAAAAGTGTTTATATATCTCTAAAACATGAAATTTGCTTTACAATGCAACTAAATGCTGGAACAACCTGCCACCTCCAATCCCCGACATCCAAGGCATTACATCTTTCAAAATAAAATGTAAAAGTTATCTTTTGGAATGTCAGTTTGCTAGATTTAGTTGCATTGTCTCATGTTTTATATTTTTGTTTGTTATCTGATTTTTTTTCCTTTTCTTTTTAATTATTCATTTTTATTTCGTTTTGTCAGTGTATATAGCCATCACTCCAAGAAAGTATGTAATCCACTGAAAATTAGTGTTGCTGGTGACAGCAACTTAGAGCTTAAAGCAACTTAAACCTGTGCCCTTAGAAATACAAACACAAAGTGATTGTTTGTATTTTTTTGAAGTTATACTTCTTTAGGCGCGTCATGAAAAATTGATGAGAGTGAAATTTTACGATGCGCGCGCACCATGACACAAAATTAACAGAATGAAGTTGCCCACGGAAGATGCTACGGCATTGGACATAATTTAAAAACTACAATCGAATAATAATAGAATTTATGGTACACTTAATGTAAGAGAATACTAATTAATATTTATTTATTTAATTTTTCAAATGTAAACTCAACTTTATTGACTATAATGACTCCTTTTGCAGTCTTTGATTATTTAATTGTAATTATTATTTGCATCAAAAACTATTTTTAATAATGCCAAAGAACTATAACTTCTTTTGCGCGTACATAAGTACACGCACCCTTTTTTTAAAATATTTGTGCTTTTATCAAAAAAATATGTTTTTTCTTTCTTTCAATTTTATTTGATTTATATGTTTTAGTAAATATATGTGTATAGGTATATTTAGAACGAAAAACCCGAGAAGCAGAATTCTTAACTGCACGTTTAGTGGAGGAATCAGAAAAACGCGCGGCGGAAGCCGATAGGCTTAAATCGGAATTACTAGCAGCGAGAGTAGCGGAAAAACAAGCGAAGGAGAAACTACTGAACTTCCTTAGTAGAACTTCTACTGGGTCGCTACCGCCGGTAAGGGGACCACTTAATTATCTATGGTAGGGGGAAAATAATTTATGCGTGTGTTCCACTTACTTTTTATGCAAGTGAGGTACAGATCTCAAATTAATTCATAATTTAAAACTCAGAGAACTAAAAACTAATTTTATATTTTGTAACGTATCAAACTGACTAAACTTTTGAACGATCCGGAAAAAATTACACAATATATATACAAAGAAAACAAGAGCCTTTAAACAAAATGTAACTCACCAATACAACTCATAATTTCCAGCCATCATCCAATCCATCTTCTCTCTTCCCGTCAACGTGCTCTCTCCCGGCGGAGTTGAGTTGTGATGACGTCGGAGTCCTACAAAATGGAGGCTCCACACCACCGGAGCCCGAGTTGAATTCCTACCAACTACTTCCTGATGACTCGGATCCGCATATCCACCGGCTGTCGTTGGAGATTGAGAAGGAAAGGTAACCATTTTTGAATAGTGTAAAATTTAAAAGGTGTTTATGCCACATAAAGAATTCATGTAAGTATCTATATACTCCCATTTTTGTTGATTGAAATATTGAATAACATCAAGAATCAACTCAAAAGTTTAGGAGATTCTTTTCTTTTATCACAGATTATCGAAGATATGTTTTTTAAATTTATTTATTTAAAATTAAAAATTATAATAAATACTGTTGTATATATATTTATGCTGTAATTGTGAGGTTCATAATTTTTGTGGCGCTAACTTCTAGGGTGGAATACCTCGCAAAATCCAAGCATCTCCAACAGCAGTTAGACGAACTGCGTTGTGAATTCTCGGTTTTGCGAGTGGAACAGCAGCCTGGAGCCACCTTGGACAGGATTCATGAAGCTCAGGCGAGGGCCGGAGATGACAAGTACTCCACTCTACGGCGGCTCAAACAGGGCTCCACGAAAACACGACTTGCCTTCTATGAGGAGCTGTGAGGTGAGATCGATAAAACGAAAAAAAGTGGCCTCACATTTATGTAATCCTGATTTGTGTAATAGATGATCGGTCTCCTGTGCCAGAGACATCGGTTTTTTAATATTGGAAGTGCCGGTTTCCCCCGTTGTCTTCTTCTCCGCATTAATTTAGCATAGTTAATAAAATCAATTGCACAGCCGGGATACGAACGCAGTACCTCGTGGTTTTAAGTCGTATAAATATTGTGAATCATGATCTGCCTGGCAAAATTAAAAAAATCTTAATTTTTGATTTACTCATATCAAAAATTCTTATATCGATTCATATCTTAGCGTGGCATTCCGAAACACATATATGTGTGACTTTAATATGTAAAAACGTAACGGATCTTAACAGAACGTCTCGTTTTAAATCATACACTAAGGATATGTTTCACAATGTATGGAAGTAAAGTACCAAATAGCTATGCAACACAAATTATTTGGAAGATAAATTGTGCTTTTTGACACTTCATCGGACTCATAACTTATGATGGACTTTATGTGACGAATAGCGCTATCTGACAGTCGTGAAATGCAACAATAGTGTTTATCCTACCAATAAGTAATAAATAGCTAATTTGGAACATATGTAGAACTTATCCATACATTGTATATACCCTAAGTGTTAGAAAAATATTTGTTATATCTTTTAAATCTATGATATGCTTTTTCGCAGGTGAAAGTACAATGACAAGCAATTCCACAAATATGTATTATTCTAGGACACGGAAGTGACAATTTGAATATTTTTTTCTCTTCGTAGTTAGCACCTAGGTTTTGAACAAAGCGCATAATTTTTATATGTTCATTTTTAAGTAATTGATGTTTTATGGGGAAGATTTGGTTATTTTTTTAATTTAAATAATAGTTAATATTTTAAAATAAGTTATAGTGTTATTCATATACATATTTTAAGTAATATTTTACCATGTTCCTAAATATTTTAAAATATTATACGTCCTCATGGAGTTAGATATCGTATCAGAAATTTCAAGATATTTTATATCCGTGTACCTTTAGTGCCGTTCAACCGCTATCTACTCAGTTGGTTTATGTAATATGTTTAATTCATTATTACCTGGTTCGGTTTCCGGCAAAAGACACAAAATTAGAAATTGGTTTAACTGTTTAAGTTTTTCTGCGATTCGAACTTAATACTTCTCTAATAAATTCAATTAACTAATAAACAACCGAGATATTAAAGCGGTTGAACTGTTGTTATATGATCTCTTTTTTTATTTAAATCTATTGGAAAATTCTTTTTTATATTATGCCTAAAGTTTTATCTGCAAGAAATAATATTGACTTATCTGTGATGGCGCACGCTATGCGCATTTCGCGCCATTTTATTACAGTCGATCCCTTATGTTATTAGTTTGAAAAACTATACGTAGCTACGTAATATATCATTCGTCCATTCAAAAATAACAGTTTAAGAGTGCAAAAATGTCTAAACTACTCTAAAACAAGTTTATTCTCTATTATATAAGATCTGCTTTTCTTTTTTATGAAATTGTTTAGCCTTTTTGCAAGTCATAGGTTAAGTTTTAATATCTCGACTAATATGAATATTTTTTATTCAACCGACATTTGAAATAATAAATATTATTGCCATATAATATTCGTGTAGCTATTGTCAAATCGTTATAATGTGATCAATAATATCAGACCATTCTGTTATGTACCTTTACAATTAGTATAAGTTCATAATTATATCGATTTTAGTATAACAAATATCCACCGTAATTTAAGATAGCTAAACACTTACCAAACGTAATTAAAACTTCAAATATGGTAATAACATTGAGAGTCACTACTTAAATTACGTTTATATATTATATTTGGGTCAAAAATGCCTAACATGGGATCGTATACGGTCCCACCGTATCCGTAGTACGAGCAATACGCAAAATCGACAAAGTAACAATATTATTTGTATCATAAATAATAATAATTTTTGGGACAGCACTTTGCAGCTATATTTTGAACTAAACGAAAGCACAAACATACATTATTTAAAAAAACTAGTATGATTTCACAAATCCAATACGTTTTTCACATACCTTTCTTACCGCTTAGTCTCGACTTTCAAACTTGAATTAACGTAGTAAACAATGTATTGTTTTTACATATTGTATGGAATAGCTGTGAGTTCTTTGCTGTCAAAAACTGATTTTATCGTATTGACGTATACGAATACTATCGTAAAGTACGTGCTAAAGCCTCTGAAAAAAATGGGCTTAATAAGTCTTAAGTCTTTAGAAACACGGATTAATGAACGGATTCAATCAGATCATCAGATGTAGTCATCAGACCGTAAGCAGGTCGATGATCATTTTTAGCTCATACTTTGAAATAGAGTAAAATAATTATATGTATTCATAATTATTATGTGTATGTCTTCCATACCAATGGTCATCTTGTGGCCCGATTGTAGAATTGGTAAGTTCGTAATTTGGCCTAGCCATTTAATGAAGCTGGAAAGTTAAGTTGATGTTTTTATCATATATTTCATGGGGCTACAATATAGTTAGGTTTTAGCCATTTTAAGGAATTGTGTATTTTTGTGACGAAATAATTGTGATGTACGACTTATGTTCAATCAAGTGCCTTGCGTAATATAGAAACAATTTTGTAAATAAATATTTATAACTTTTTACTGAGCTGTTTTTTTTTCTGATATAAAATCTATCAGAATTTTGTATCAGTAAACCATTATTGTATAAACGTAATAACCAAAATTTATAAAAAATTGGAAATTATTTATTACTTAGATTTCTGTTAACTTTATGAAAATTAGTTTTTACATTTGAAACAATTAACTTGGTATTGTGTGCAATTTACGCAGGATATGTTTCAAGTGAAAATTGCACAATACCATTGCATTTCTCAAATATTTTAAGTTGTGTGGCGTACAGTTAGTAAAAAGACTAGAAATAATTTTTTTTTACAGATTTACCCTATTTGCATATATTTTATATGAATCACATTAATTAAAGATGTACCTTTCAACATCAACATTTTTATTTACTAAAATTATAATGAAATAAGTAATAACATATTATAACTATCTTTCTATATTGTTATAATAATATATACATAACTTTTAATGAGCTGATAAATGGTATATTGCAGTGAAAATAACAGTAATATGAATCAAATGAAATCAGTAGTATTTGTTCCACTATATTCTAATTTTTTTAAATTAAATTTTTAACATTTAAGGAATAAATAAAATACCTTTAGTATAAAGCAAGCAAACAATATTACAATCATTCATTGTAAAAAAATATAATTATTTATTTTAAAAAATCACATATGTAGTTAACATATTATGTCAAAGAGAATATTTGGTATAAAATTATGATTATTGATTTTTGTTTTACTTCTGCCTTTAAGTTTCAATAAAAAAATTACTATAGTAGTATCTACAAAGTATGAAGTTAAGCTCTTTACTAACTTATATTTTAGGATTAAAATTGTTGTTTCTATTAATTCACATATTATATTATCTTATATCTTGTGATGTTTAAGTAATAAATGAATTTTAAATAAAGTTTTATCAATTATTCCTAAGATAAACTATTAATTGTGCTAGAAGTTTTATTATCCAGAACTGTAAAGGCAAATTCTAAATTTTGAAATTGTTTCTTTGATTTCCATTCTTCTACATAATATATTATTTTTAATTAAGCAAAATAGATTTTATGCAATAGATAATTTAAAAAATACTGACATAATACACAAGCAGTCCATGACTCAGGCTTTATTATACAGCCTCTTATAACTAACACTTGTACTGCTGTCACAGAATTCATTCATTATTATTCTACACAGGAATAAGTGAAACACAACTATAAGTAAAATAATGGACACCCAGAACAAGGGATTCAGACCACCTAAACTATGACCATGTTTATGTAAAGCTATGACGTGGGATTCATGAGGAGGAGCCTCTATGACCTCATGCACATGAATTGCATGCTTTAAGTCCTCCATGTGCTGTTTATCTGCCGTAATATACAAGATTGCCGTCAAGGGCTCTGTTAACTTCACTGGGAAATATTTTCTATATGGACCAAGTTGTACAGCTGAGTCCAGACATCCACCATCACACGCATAGTATGTTCTATCAGAACGATCAAGTGCAACAAAAATAGCCGCTTTGTTATCCTCTTGTAGAATAACACTAATATTTACATGTGTTAAATTACCATAATTAACCCGGCGGAATAAAAAATCCCTGTGAAGTTTTGATGGATGTATATTATATTCAAGATGTTGGTTGCTAAACCGCAAGCTACCAAAGCTTAATATCATTGCCTGGTTCACCCCACTTGCTCCTGCTCTTAATAGATTATGGCAACCCTGCTTCTCCAATGTCAACATCCATACACTAGCAACATTATTTAAGTTCTGTAAAGAATTTAAAGGCTTCCATAAGTTAAATGCATCAAGTGTTGAATACCCACCATAACAACCTTCTGAATATGTCAGACTGCGTAAAATCTCTGTTTTTGTAGATGGTTTTATGTGATTTTCATGTTCAAAACTTCGTACTTGTGACAGAATAGCATATATTGTAGCATTTATTCTATCACCATTTATTACACCAGCAGCTTTAGAATCTGAAATATAGAAGCCAGTATCCCAAAGGCCTTGCCAGACTCTAGCATGGTTGTCTCTCAATATCCTAACAGCTGAGTGATCTCCAGTTAAAGAAATTACCTTCTCCATTTCTTCGATGGCTTTTTTCTCAACTATATCCTTTTGTTTGGCATAATCATCTTGTTTTATTGGTCGACTGTATTGCACTGTAGTAAGAATCATTATGTCTATACCATCTCGGGCTTCTACTTGTATATAATTACTAATTTTTCGACATACAACAGCTGCGGCTATGACATTATCACTGTCTGGTAAATGAATCATACCTGTTACTACCTCATACTCTTTGCTATCAACACCTTGATGTAACTTTATAGTTTGTTTAACAGCTGTTTGCCAATCAGATAATCTAGGTGAAGTCATATGCAACTTTTTTGCTACATTTAATGGATTGCTAACTAATATTTCTTGAACGAATAAAGATGGAATAGTTCTATGTGCATAATATTGGTAAGATACTTTAATGCCAGAAGAGCTGCACTGATATCTGTGAACTATACCACTTTTGTAGTCAACTAATGTGGATTCTTTCATATCATAATCTTCCACAATGTACAATGGATGATAATATAAAGGTAGAGACAGTGTTCTGCCATGTTTGATATTTAAGTGTGAATCATGCTCTAATGAAATTCCAAGTAGACCATTTCCAATATAAGGCACATAATTATGGCTTAAGGATGATAAAGTTGCTGCTGATTCAAGTCTCATATAAGCATCGTATTGGTTTAAGGCATCTTGGAAAGGGTTTATGAAGTTCTGATGGCAAAGATTTTGACTGCTTGCTAAGGAGCCATCTCTACTAAATATTGAATTTAATATTGTTGGTCCAAGGTACAATATTAAAAATACTAAAATAAGAAGTATAACTACCAACTTTTTCCGAGTCAGGGGTCCGTCTGTGATTCTATTAATGCGGCGAAATATCTCTCCGGCTCTTCGACTCATTTCACTGTAGTTAGACCTTTCCATGCCAAGGATCTATAGTTAATCACCTACTTGGTTTGTTAGTATTATGTTTTAGTGAAGATTTAGACAATTATTTACATTTCAACAATATTTAATCTGGCTTGTATTTATAAAAGTAACTACAGTTGTAGTAACTTAATGACATAAGAACTAAGAAGTTACTTATGCGACAGACGACTGACAACTGACCTGACTCCTGAGATGTCTGACAAGTAAACACTTAATAATTAGTAGTCTAGACTCTAGACATGCGCCGAGTTAACCGAATACTCGGCTGGGTAAGGCTATGTTCAGATGGCAAAAACTCGACGCGCGTTTTCAAATCGCGCGACTAGACATTGTGGTATTTTCATACAACTGTTCACATGAGCGCGCGTTTACGCGCGTCAACGCGGCGCTCAGAGAAAAAGTCTCTAGACGCAGGTGACCGCGCGTTGACGCGCGCTTTGATATTAATGTAATGTCCGTATGCTGTTCAGTTGAGCGCGCGCTTTCATCGCGATCGCATGTAATTTTGTTAATTTTCGTAATTATATTTATAACAAACTGGGTCTATTTTTCAAAATTGGATGAACCCAATGTGTACGTTTTCTTTTTTTATATTTTTCTTTATAATATAACCACAAAATAATAGCCTCTTCCTCGTCCATTTTCTACGTTCTACCGAACTAGACTGACGAGTACTCTCGCAACGCGCATTAGCGCTCATCATCTGAACTCTCTTCAAATTTGATCGCGCGTTACATGTGAACATAGCCTTATAATTCGGTCAAGACTTGGTTTTTTTCGGGAAATTAACCTAGAAAGTTTTTGTACTACGTGTTAATAGTTACGTGTATGAAAAAATTAGTTTTAATTTACAAACCCTTGTGTACCATTTTGCATTAACAATTATTTCTGGAAGTATATCGTGCGGAAAACCCAAACCACACTTGACTGGCCTACCCTCAATTGACGATTTTATAATATTCGATAATTTATAACAAATTTTGGGTTTCATGTACAGGATCAAAATAAAATAGGGTTATTAACTTGAAATGAAATAAAAAGGAGACTTATTTTCATTATTAAGTTTTATTCAATTTATATGTATAAATAAATCTATCACATTACTTATTTTACAATAAAATTTTTAAAATATAATACCACGAAAGGAGCACCATTTTTAATAAATATCTTTAGAATGATTGTAGATCATGTAAAACATGTATATAAAATTCATTCTACTTTTATTACGAGATTCAATATTGCTGATACTAATTATTCTATATAGGTTTTTAATAGTTAATCAATTAAATGCATGATGTTAACAAGTTCTAAATAAATTACAAACTCATTTACATAATCGGAACATAAAAATATTGTTTTTTATATAAAAACATGTATACTGGAATGTAGTTCAAATACTTTTTTTTTCAATGTAAATAAATTAAAAGCTTAGATACTAATCCTTAAATTATATTGCTCACATTGAATACAAACAGTAACTTTATTATGCAATGTCTTAAGTAGTATTTAGAAAATTTAAATAAAAATTAATATCAAAAAGATGTAAAATTTCCTGTAATATATTTGAACGATGATATATTCAAAAGCCAATAAAAATAAACAGCTAATTAAATTTGATATTTACTTATCAAGTACTTATACTAGACTTTAGACAAAAGAGATATTGAATATGAGAAAAGTCCAAGACAGTTTCATTACAGAAATAATTTATAGAAAAGACAGAAATTTCTATTATAAAATATTTAGACTTAATGTTTTTTGATTGCAAACTATGAAAAGTTACTCCTTTCCTATTGGTCTCCATTCTGAGTCAGACCTCAGTAGAACCACTTCATCTTCAGAGTCCGTTTCTGATAGTGGTATCTCCTCTTCATCATAGTACGGCTTGCGGACTATATCTAATAAATTCAAAACATTCAAAAGGCCAATTTAAGGATAATAGTACTTTTTATCATATATTTGTCATTTAAATAAAAATAACATTTTCTAATTAAGTTTGAAGAAATAGCATTTTCATAAAATAAAATCGTATTTTCTCACCATAAGCATTATCATCAAACAACGGCTTTTTATCGTCAGCCGGTAACTGTGTGAATAAGTATTCTCGCCTCGAGTCCTGTGACTGTTCTCTACATCTGTAGCACCAAGCGCCTAGCGTTACTAGACCAACGCCGATTATACCTGTAGAAATACGATTATTAAAAAAAAAAGTGTGTGTGTACAAAGTACACATGTCAGAAGTGAAACTTCTGTGGCAAACTAATCTTTAAGTGTTGTTCATATTTATACAAATCTAAAAGTTTATATTTCCGATACTTAGAGGGACGGAAAAAGGAAGATATGTTAGGAATTTAATGAATTTAATTGTCATTAAAATATAAGTGTCGAATAGTAAATAATAAATAATAAAAAATGTGATGGTAAATTTTTTTCCAACGCCGATAAAGAAGTTTGACTTCAAAAAGCAACATGGCGCGTAACCTAAAAACGTGACGATTTGCTACAAAATACGTCGATAAAGAAGTTTCACTTCAACAAACAAAATTATAATCATCATCATTGTTCAATATATTAAAAAAAATATGCTGTTATCTGGTCTTGGCTTGGCAGTGTACCAACTTTCTGTCTATGTGCGCATCTAACACTGGCTTGTATGGTAAAGGAAAACATCCTGAGGAAATCGGCACGTCTCAAATCCAAAAATCGATGACATGTAAGACACACACGGCTGATCACCTACCTGTCTAAAATAAAAATCATTGAAGAAACTGATGCAACCTGAGGCCAAGACTCATTTAGACTTGTAGCCATCGGATTAATATTATTATGCAGCATCTGGAGCAACCTAGTTCTTTTATAAAGTATTATGTGTGAACGAATAAAGTTACTTTTTTGGTTTCGTTGTACATTACTCCTATAAACTGTCTATATTATATTATAATTTTAAAAATTAAACTTTTTCCATACCTGAAACCATTACAAAGACAAGTCGAGGCATCCCCAGCACTTTGTTGTCGGGCTCCAGTTTGAACAATATGTTTGGTGTAATATTCTCACTACTGCTCACCTGTTTTAAAACGAAATAATTTACAAGATATTTTGGAGAACTAAACACTCAGATAAAAATATTGTCGGGACAAAGTATGAAGAGTGAAATTAAAAAAAAACTTTTAATTATTACTTACATTAAAATACTTCTAAAATAACGTACAACGAAAACGTAAAGTAACGAAACTAAAATTATGATATGTATTTAAAGATGATATATTTTTTTAAAGGATACATGTATTTATTAAACATTTTCAGTTTTCAATCTGTTATAAAATTAAAGGAAATATAATTTTATACTAGACTTTAGACAAAAGAAAAAATACAGCTAGACCAACGTCTAGCTGTATTTTTTTTTGTTTTTTTAATGGCTCTGGCACGGTTTGTGCATTAGCCAGCGTCAAGTATAGTATTTTTTATAATTCGCGCTTTGTCTTTAGAAATTCGACCGTGTCCTCCATGTACGGTTTAAGCACTCGCCCGGTACCGCACAACCCTCCCAAAGGCCGAGAACAAATTTAAATTAAATTAAAACTTGCCCTCGAACCGGGAATCGAACCCGGTACCCCTCACCTAACTACCACTTAATAAGACCGCTAGGCTATGAGGCCCCCAGTATTTCTATTTGAGTGAATTAGCCAAATAAAACAAAATTTATTGCCATATATCAAAATTATTTTAAATAACTTAAAACTAGTATGTCTAAATTGTCACAATTCTGTATGATAAATAGTTTTTCATCTATCTCTATCACTCACCTTAATATGTCGACTAAGAGTAATATATCCGTCACTTTCAGCCATAATTCGTACTTCTTTTCCCATGTATGTAACAGGCAGTGAAATTACGAAACGGCCGCTGTCGTCACTCGTATTGGCTACTAGAGGGCGCTTCGAATCAAGAGTATACACTTTTAGCTCTGTGGATAGAGGTTGGCTGTTGTAGTCTAACGCAAGACCTGGAATATTATTAAAGATACATTATTTTTTGTAATATTTACACCTTACATAATATATTGAAGCACTTTTAAGAAAAAACAAACTTATGTGCATAACAATACTTTAATTTAATTTATGAACAACGCGATACTGATGACCGAAGGCGATGAAAAATCACTGTCAACCTTCCCATCATTAGGACATTTTTTCAAGTGTGATGATGCAAATACTAATAAGACAACTTTTAACAATAAAGTTTTTTTTAAGTTATACTTCTTTAGGCGCGTTATGAAAAATTGATGAGAGTGAAATTTTACGATGCGCGCGCACCGTGACACAAAATTAACAGAATGAAGTTGCCCACGGAAGATGCTACGGCATTGGACATAATTTAAAAACTACATTCGAATAATAATAGAATTTACGTTACACTTAATGTAAGAGAATTATAATAAATATTTATTTATTTAATTTTTCAAATGTAAACTGAACTTTATTGACTATAATGACTCCTTTTTTAGTCTTTGATTATTTAATTGTAATTAATTATTTGCATGCAATCAAAAACTATTTTTAATAATGCCAAAGAAGTATAACTTCTTACGCGCGTACATAAGTACACGCACCCTTTTTTTATAGAACCTGGGGCAAACTGCACGGCACAAAAAATCAAACCAGCACGGTGACGAAACCGAACTAATTGCAATCTGTCGTGGAGTCAGGCAAGGGTGCATTCTGTCCCCGCTTCTATTTAATCTGTATTCAAAAGCAATTATCTCTGAAGCACTGTAAGGCAAAGAGTGGGGTATCAAGATCAATGGGCAAATAATTAACAACTTGAGATACGCCGATGATACCACTCTTATAGCAACAACACCTGAAGATCTACAGAGTATAGTTGACCACGTCTATGAGTGCAGCAAAAGAGCGGGGCTATCAATGAACCTTGCCAAAACCAAGTATATGGTGATTAGCAGAAGAGAAGACTTAAACCCAACAATCTCGGTGGCAGGTACTACTTTGGAGAGAGTCAATAAATACAAGTACCTAGGCACATGGCTGACTGATGAATGGGAGTCTAAAATTGAAGTGAAGACCCGAATAGAAGTTGCTCGTGCTTCAACAAAATGAGAAAGGTACTCTGCAACAAAGACATCAGTCTGCACCTCCGAAGTAGGATGCTTCAATGTTACATCTGGCCAGTTGTAATGTATGATTGCGAAGCTTGGACCTTGAAGGAGGCAACCATTAAGAAACTTGACGCCTTTGAAATGTGGTGTTACCGAAGAATGCTGAGGATAAGCTGGGTCCATAGAGTCACGAACGAAGAAGTTCTACGGCACGTCAAACGATCCCGAGAACTCACGTTGAACATTAAAAAGAAGAAGATAAGTTACTTGGGACATGTGTTTCGGCACGAACGGTACCGACTTCTTCAAGTAATCATGATGAGCAAGGTCGAGGGGAAAAGACGCGCTGGCAGAAGGAGGAAGTCGTGGCTCCGCAATATTAGAGAATGGACGGGAGTGGCCAGCGTAGAACAGATGATGCGCTTGGCGAAAAATAAGGAGTTTGACGAGCTGACCGCCAACCTCCAGTAGTGGAGAGGCACTTTAAGAAGAAGAAGAAGAAGGGGCAAACTGGCAGGCTCAACTGACGTTAAGTGAGTACCACCCATAGACACTTTAAATGCCTAAATGCGTTGCCGGCCTTACATATTTGTTTAAACAATATTAATTTTAATTGTTTTGTATACTTAAAACAAAAGTTTTAGTTTTAGAAACATTTAAACCCAAGATATATCTTTGTTATATAACATTGAAATCCCTAAATACATTCAAAGGATATTTTATGATGTCTGACCTGTAATATAAACTTGATCGGGATTAATTTCAATATGTATTGGCTTGAGCGCGTTCGGTATTCCTTCCGAGTCTACCCTCTTCATTATTACGTCGTTCTGTTTAATAACACCTTCTACAACCCGCCAATTCAGTATCTAAAAACAGAATGCTTTAAGTACAACATTTATAATTAAAAAAAAATATGACGTGTTTATAAATTCCATTCGAATATATTTGCCTTTTATTTTGCTACTTATAGTTGGTAAGTATACATAGCTATACTAAGGTGGGTTTTTAATGTGGAGTATACAACAATTCGAAACAAATGCAAACAGTCAGAACGAATTAAAAATAGCCATACTTAGAGTCCTTCATTAAAGTATCTCTTAAAGTACAGTGTTTCATATTGATATGAAATTTAAGAAAGCATAATGACATAATTTTAACTGCCGAAAGGATATTTGGTCATACTATTACTAAATGGCTATGTATTTGCTGACTCTTCAGAGTTATTTTACCTGGTCACGGTAGGGATGGCATCGCACAATGACACGGTAATCCCCGGGTGGTAATAAAGCCCGATATCTTGCGAGATTTGGAGATACCCGATACTGACGAGAGGTGCCGGCTATGGCCAGACTAGCACCCCTGACTGGCCCACCATCTTCATTCTTTACGTAGCCAACCACACCTAAAAAATATTTATGTAAAATAGACACGCAACTGGTGTCAGTAGACTTCTAGAAGTTTAAGAATGATGATCAAGATATAATATGTCGACAATAAATAATAAAATGTAAAAATGTGATGTATCTAAATGGTAAAAAGATATATACAGTGCAAGTCTTACCAGTATTAGCAATTTCGGCAAACTTCATAATTCCTCTTAGATTATCTCTCCATATCCATGCAATATCTTCATTCGACGGCATCTTACAGCAACTGAGACCCACAGATATCACCGGCGTATTATATCTCTCAAACAGCACATCAATTAGATTTCCATGGACAATATTATTCCTTGGTTTACAATTGTATCTATCTACCTGAGCCCTATTATCTCGATATTTCGCGGCAAACTGGCTGTGAATATTCTTAGAAAAATCTGGGAACGCAACGTCTTCCGTGCCGGAGGATAATTCCAGTACCAGGTCGAATTTCTCGCTCTCCAAGAGGTCAATAAAGGCTTTTTCCCTCGTGTAATTCGATAGTGGATTCAAGTTTTTCTTTGTTATATAACTGTAGACGCTATCTCCGAATTCTTCTTCCAGAATTTCTAAATCACACTGTTCTGTCCCGTTGTAATTCATCAGAACTTTTTCGTACAGGGGGTCTAAATTTGGTATAAAACGAAAAACAGCGTTTTTGAGCAATCGTTTATGAACCGGTTCACCTATAGTGTAGGCTGTAGATATGTGGCGAGCGAAGTTTAGAAGCATTTCTTGACCAAGAGGCTGAGAGCCGTAAAGGTTGCTTATTAAAGCAATATGGAATTTTGTTTCTTCTGGGGAACCAGCCTAAAATCGTATAATTGAAAATTAAATTTTTGCAGAAAGGAATGTAATAAATACAATTATAATTCGCCCAAAGAATCTAAAATGTCTCTTTCATCCTTCTCAAAGCATATTTAAAAAAAATACATATTCAAAATTAAAATAATTATGTATATTATTTTAATAATATTCTCACACAGTCACTTAAGACATAAAGAACGACTTTGATGGGCAAACTTCTTACAAAATGTATATAACTTACATCATCAGTAATCTTTAGTTCGTGTAAAGTTGCAGTTGTAAGGCTGTCTCCCGATTGGAACTCAGCTATATCTGGGAATTTATTCTCTAGCTCTGCTAACGCCGCGTACATCTCCAAAGGTGTATGGTATCGGGTACCCACTATATTTTCTAGGACTCTACAGTAATAAGAGTATACATATATAACTAAGGAATCATTTAGTAGAATTACATTACTTTTGTAATACCTACAACGTTTACAAATTTTTGATTGATTACAGTTTTAACCAATTACATAAGATATACGATTATATAAGTTTTAAGTGTTTAAGAAATACTATATATAATAGAACTGTAATCGAAAATTATCTGACTAAAATTTATTACTCACACAAGAAAAAGAAATATATAAAAAAAAGAAAGGAAGAAAAGGGATTAGTAATAGCGGACAGTTAGTGTTAAGCAATCACAACACAGAATAGCGAAGAATATACATTTATTAGAATAAAAACCAATTAGTGTAAAAGCCAAAAGTAACATAAATATCACAATGGAAACCCTAGACCCTAAAAAATTCAGCAAATTTAAAAGTGTGAGATCTTTTGCAATCGGACGGAATTTTTAATTAAAACATTAAGGAAATATACAAAAATTTACACTCATTAAAACTAATCCCACAACCACAGGTATATTTAAAAAAAAACATATAAAATGAGTATTATATCACTAAGCTTAAATTACAATGACAAGATTAAAATAATTTAATTTATATTAAAAATTAAATTCACAAAAAATCTATCCAAAATAATTCTAATTTTTACTAAATTAACTTAACAGTTATGTTAAAAGGAAATTAAAAAGATAGTGCGATAAATTTGAGTAATTGTACTTTCATTTTATTATGTTATTTTCCTATGAAACTTGTTTTTACATTATACGAATATTTATAGTACTACCACCATGAAAGAATATAATAATTTGTAAAGAGTTTCTTTACATGGTGATGGGGATGGATGAAGCTGGAAGAAATTCCAAAGACAAAATCCATTTGGACCACAGAACTGAAGTGCGTCACTTACCGGAAGTCGTAAGCAGATGACCAATGTTGGGGATCATCCGGCATCAGAGTAAAGTTCACACTAATTGATCCATTTACTGGTACTGTCACTTTTTCTGTTACGCTCTCATATCTAAAAATTATAATAATAATAATTATTACAACTTTCTTCTTCTATACAAGATGTAATTAATAAAGTCCCTTAGTGCGTAATATTGAATAAATCATTTGTCTGTTGAATTAATGGTTAATTTTATTTATAGTAAAGAAAACAGTGGCCCAAAAACCCTTGTTCTTGGGTCCGTCGATTACTTGTTGAGTCATGTCCGTTTCCTCACGATGTTTTCCTTCATCGTACGAGCGAGCGTCATAAGTCCATTGATGCTTATCCGCAATTTGAACGCATGCCCTCAGGGCTTTTCTCGAGCCACTAGGCCAACGGAAAATATCTTAATCTTAATATATATAAATTACGCGTCACGTTGTTTGTCCGCTATGGACTCCTAAACTACTTAACCAATTTCAATCAAATTTGCACACCGTGTGCAGTTTGATCTAACTTAAAAGATAGGATAGCTTACATCTCAATTTAAACCCGCAATATTATTTTATTGCAAAATATTTGTTTATTATTTGATAGTCACTATTCTAACAGATGGCGCTGTGTTGAAAGCACCAACTTTTCACATAAGCTACAATTTAATGGTATAACCACCAAAAAAGCATGGTGGTCCCCATGACTGGTGTTTCCTACCGTTTCCCTTGAATAGTTTACTACTATATAATATAACAAAAACCTTAGCCATAGCAACGCTTGGCCGGTCTGCTAGTATATGTATATAATATATATATTTCTACTGTAATGTGTATGTCACTGAACTCCTCTTAATCGGCTGGACCGATTTGAATGAATTTTTTTGTATGCGTTTGGGTGGCGCCCTGGATGGTTTAGATTCACAAATCAGCCCGGCAGATGGCGCTTCAGTCGGTACTTTAATATCGCTTGCAATATCATGCAGGACAACGCCTGTCGGGTCCGCTAGTAAGTTATAAATATCAATGTATAAAATATATACCCGTCCTTAGTAGCAGTAATATTATATGTCCCAGGTACCAAGAGACGGTAGTAATCGCCTGAAGTGGCTGTTTTGACATTGTGTCTATTCCCGGACACTGTGATTGTGACGTTGCCAAGCGCGTTACCTATGTGACTGTGTACGAAGCCGTGAACGCCGTAGTGAACCTACAACACGAATTATTATTGAAATAGAAAAACACTTTTTTAACAGATTTGAAGTTATGTTTTATTATAAATTTACAATTATTTTACATAATTTTAAATTTAACCGACGTTTCGCGTGCTTTACAGCGTGCGTGGTCACAGTGACTGAAGACAAAAGGTGTTGAATGTCAAAAAGTATCACAGCTGTAGAAAAAGTTGTGTTATCTGTATTCATTTCCCCGTTGGTATCGACTAAATCAAATCAATATTTCAAATCCGTTAAAAAAGTGTTTTTCTATGTCTAAAAGTTATGTCAATAAAAGACAATACTACGAATTATTATTATTTCTAACGACATATTTTTATTATTTTGATACAGACTACAGAGCCTATATAAATAAATTCTTTAATCAATTAAAAAAAAATAATGCAACATAAAACAAATAAAATGTTAACTGGAAGTTCAATTAAGATGACGTTAAAATTAATATTTTTAAACGTTGTTTCAAAAATGGGACATCTTTTGGATTTTACGTTTTAAGTTTTTAAACTTGAAAAAAATTACCTGTTCAATAAATTTGATAAGAGCCTCTCGATTATCATCCCAATAGCTTGGCAAATCGCTTGCTGGAGGGAACTTATAACATCCAAGTTCTAATGTAATCTCCATATCGTTTGTATGTAAATAGTTCCAGTCTTGCATTCCACCGGCCAACGTATACCTGTAAAGATGAATAATACAAAATACTTATTAAAGATATATCTGATTCAAAATGTACTATTCTCTAAATTATTATTCCCGAATGCTGTTTGTTACACGAGTTAGTACAATTGAGTGAATTCGATAAAATTTCTTATTGTCTGAATAGAATCTTATCTTTTCTTGCCCTGAACATCATAGGACCAAATAATAAAAATGAAAAAGGTCCAGGCGCTTTCCAGTACTAGGGAAACTTTACTAATAAAAATAAATCGTAAAAAAACATACCACTTAGCACCATTAGTTACTCCATCAGGAAATCTGTCAATACTTCCTCTGCAAGGCAGACCCAAATGCATTTTGTGATGCGCCTGAAAAAACAATGAATATATACGCTTATCTAAAAAAAAAAACGTAGAACTAAATTTAAACTAAAATAAAATTGGTAAAAAATAAAAAATAAGTTGTATGCTTTTTAAAATACATCATGACAAGGGAATAGATGGGGTAATTTTAGTTTACGATAAGGACCGATTAAACAGTTTAATACTATATGTCTTAAACTGTTTAATCGGTCTATATGACACGTAAGTTTTCCTTAATGTATATCAAACATTAAGGAAAACTTACGTGTCATTAAAAGACTTTAACGACACATGTTTTTTACCAGAGTAGGTTTCTCTTGTCTCTAGTCTTATGATAGTTGACATGTTTGCTAGCAACTGGCTAAAACTATAAGCTAAAGCGTTAATTTATACTCTGCTTTTTCATTCCGTAGAATTCTGACATTTCATGAGTGTTGCTACTAAAAAAAGTTCTCCAACGAAAAAGGGACAAATTTGACCCATTTGAGGGCAATAAAAAAGAAAATGCTACGTATTTTTTATGTTTTACCTACAAAAAGGTAAATCTAAATATTTACTTACTCAAGTGACGTAATACAAAAATAACAAATATTTCAATATCACGAACAATATATCGATTTACCTTCAATTACTTTATTTTATTATTTAGCTGGCATCACTGCCTACTAGTTCCAGGTTTAGTAAACCTTTTAAAAAAAATAAAATGTTATCTGACTTGTGTGTTTTTTACTGTTTGTGATGAAAAGGGACGTAATTATCAACCGCCGAAAAACCACTTTTAATGTGGAACACGGCACTTAATAAAATGGATATATTCACTAACAAATAAAATGTGTGAATGTAATGTTCAGACTCGTATTGAAATTGAAAAAATCTGCCCGGCAAAAAAGGTTTGTCATCTCTGACATGTCAAAAAATGATCGCTGTCAGAATTCTACGGAATTAAAAATCAGAGTATAGAAAAATATTAAAATCACTTACCTCCGAATATACATGTGCCAAATGAACAAAAACATCATTGTCAGGTGTCAAACTTTCAATTCCATCTTTCATTTTAGTGTTTCCATCGTATGGATAATTGGCCACGAGGAATCCACCGTGAAGATTAGCGGATAGCACGAATGGTATTGACAATGACCAGTTCATTACTGCTAAAGTTTCTGGTTGAGGGTCAACGTTATCCTGGAAAAATATATTTTATTTACTTGAGTATTACACACGAATTATAACATATATATAAATAGTTAATATTACAAAAAAGTAAACCCAAACATTTTAAAACAAGACACGGAATAGGTTATTAATTACTACCCTTACACGTTGAGACAAGGTTTATTAAATGTTAAGAGCATACCGCGTTCGATTACTGGCGCAAAATTTGTGGCACATGCCAATAAATGTGATGTATAACGAAAACTCATTATAAAATGAAATTTAAAAAAAAAACACTTCGTTCTAAATATCTGGGGTATGTACCGAATGGATATATTACGTACCGGCGTTGGACCGTACTGGTCCGGGAAATTTCTATTCAAGTCTACATTATTACCATTGTTGCGCCCACGAAGACTGCTGTAATCACCTAAAAAATAAAAACAATAAGTCCATCATTCTATAATTGACACATTTCTTACAAGTGTAGTAATGATTTTTTTTAACAGAGTAGGTTTCTCTTGTCTCTAGTCTTATGATAGTTGACATGTTTGCTAGCAGCTGGCTAAAACTATAGGCTGAAGCGTTATATTTTAATCTCCTTAAAGTCACCAAACTCCTTCCTGCATTCAATACATTTCGGCAATGTTTGATTATTTATTATATAGTAAAGAAGCAGTATAGCAATCACGCTGGGCATACTAACAATGGAGTTATTATTTATTACGCCATGGGTTCAATCGTACTACAATTTTTTCAACAATGATATAAGACAGAAATTAATGCGTATTACAAATGTAAGAAATACTTACGCGTTCTAGAATGCTCATAACCATCAGGATTCATGGACGGCATCAGATGCACTCTCGTTGTGTTAAGTAACTTTTGAATTCGCTCGTCTCCACTATTGTACTGTTGACAGAGGTACTTCGCTAAGAGTAACAACATTTCGCGACCAACCACCTCGTTACCATGCATATTTGCCACGTACTTAAATTCCGGTTTGCCTAAAATAAGTTTAAATTATATAATTAAATTGCGCAAGTATACTTAAGCGTCAAAACTACGCGAATTCAGAACAATAACTGCTCAGAGATAAGTTGTGGACAGAAATTTGTATGGCCATTTGACAGATGGGAGAGTGCGCAGATTAATCATTAACTTGTCACTGAATATAAGACAAACGCATTATTTTTTTTTTTTTTTTTTTTTATGAAATAGGAGGCAAACGGGCAGGAGGCTCACCTGATGTTAAGTGATACCGCCGCCCATGGACACTCACAATGCCAGAAGGCTCGCAAGTGCGTTGCCGGCCTTTCAGGAATTGGTACGCTCTTTTCTTGAAGGACCCTAAGTCGAATTGGTTCGGAAATACTTCTGTGGGCAGCTGGTTCCACATAGTGGTGGTGCGCGGCAAAAACTGCCTTAGAAAACGCTCTGTTGTGGAACGACGGACGTCGAGGTGATACGGATGGTATTTTGTATTTTGCCTTGACGTCCGATGATGAAACTCAGCTGCAGGTATTAGACCGAACAACTCCTCTGAACACTCTCCATGGTAAATGCGGTAGAAGATGCAGAGAGATCCCACATCTCTACGCAACGCCAAGGGATCAAGCCGCACGGAAAGTGACTGGTCGTCGACGATTCGAACCGCTCTTCGTTGAATACGGTCAAGTGGAAGGAGCTGGTACTGGGGAGCTCCCGCCCAGAGGTGAGAGCAGTACTCCATATGGGGCCGAATTTGCGCTTTATATAGTTGCAAGCGGTGGCCCGGAGTGAAGTACCGTCTCGCCTTGCTGAGCACACCAAGCTTTTTGGAGGCTAATTTAGCCTTTCCTTCCAGATGACCGCGAAACTGAACGTTATTCGATATGTCAACGCCCAGTATTCCGATGCTAGCTGAGGCTTTAAGGAGAGTGTCTTCAAAGAGGGGAGTAGCGACAAAGGGAGTTTTTTTAGCGGAAAACGCGCATACTTGTGTCTTCTTGGGGTTAAATTGGACTAGATTTAGTCTACCCCAGTCCGAGACTCCACGTAGAAGAGTTTCGACTTCAGACACAAGTTTGTTCCGGTACTCATCGACAACAGCCCGAGAGATACCTGCCCGGCCAGTGTAAAAAGTATCCCCAGTGCTGTCGTCCGCATAGCAATGAATGTTGCTAAGCTGCAACATATCATTGATATGCAGAATAAACAGGGTCGGGGATAGGACACAGCCTTGTGGGACACCAGCATTCACAGGTTTCAGGTCGGAGCATGCTCCGTCGATGACGACTTTGATGCTCCGATCAGCGAGAAAGCTGGAAATCCAGTTGCATAATTTCTCAGGGAGCCCATAGGCTGGAAGCTTCGAGAGCAGTGCTCTGTGCCACACCCGATCGAAGGCTTTCGCTATGTCCAAACTTACCGCCAGCGCCTCCCCCTTGGACTCAATTGCCTCTGCCCACCTATGTGTAAGGTATACAAGGAGGTCACCAGCCGAGCGACCACGACGGAAGCCGTACTGAGAATCGCTAATCAGCTGGTGGCCCTCTAGATACCTCAAGAGCTGGCTGTTAATAATGGTTTCCATTATTTTGGAGAACAAGGAGGTTATAGCTATTGGGCGATAGTTGGACGGATCAGAGCGATCGCCTTTTTTAGGGATCGGATGTATCGAAGCGATCTTCCAGCACTTCGGAACAGTGCCGAGCGTGTAAAGGTACCGGAAAAGGCGCGTTAGGACCGGAGCCAACTCAGGAGCACAAGTACGCAGCACAATTGGAGGGATGCCATCAGGCCCGCTCGACTTATGGATGTCCAAGGAAGACAAAGCTTTACGGATAGCACGTTGCCGGAATATAATTTCGGGCATCGTAGTATCACACCGCAATAATGTCGGTGGTTCCTTCCCTTGATCATCCAAAGTGGAGTTCGACGCAAAGAGACAGCCTAGAAGATCGGCCTTCTCTTTCGCGGTATGGGCAAGTGAGTCATCCTCCCTATGCAGTGGTGGAATTGAGGGCTGACAGAAATTCCCTTGGACAGCTTTGGCAAGAGACCAGAAGGCTCGAGTTCCCGAAGGGAGGTGGGCCAATTTCTCACCAAATCTGGCAATGTGCTCTGACTTTGCTTTAGCGATTTCTCGCTTGAAAGACCTGGAGGCTGAATTGTATGCTTTTTTACGTTCGCCGATAGTCACATCACAGGATGTCACCGCTTCTGCCCAGGCTTTAAAGCATTCACGCTTACGGCGCAAAGCCGCTTTGCAGGAACGCCTAAACCAAGGCTGGGACTTGCCACCGACCGGCACCGCAGAGAATGGAATAAAGAGTTCCATACCCTGCAGGACCACCTCGGCGACAGAGTCAGCGACGGCATCTGGAGTACTCGACGAAAAGCAAATGGGCCCCCAAGGGTAGGACGCAAAAAAAGACCGCATCCCATCCCAATCTGCTGACTTATAGTGCCACACGCGGCGACAGCCCGTGAAGCTAGGCCGAAGAAGGCGCGTGAACGGCACAATGCTTCGGACCACACAATGATCTGATGAACCCAATGGCGGTTCAACAGAGACTTGGTAGTTCTCCGGATGTGAAGTCAGCAGAAGGTCCAACAAAGAGGGTTTATGACCATCCACATCTGGTATTCGCGTAATCGCAGGGACCATTTGCGTCAAGTCATAAGCCAAAGCAAAGTCGTGAAAGGATCTTCCCGCATGATCGGTGGTTTCTGAGCCGAGCCAATCGGCATGGTGGGCGTTAAAATCGCCAAGTATCACGATTTCAGCGGTAGGAACCCTTTCGAGCAGGGAATCTGTAGCCATTTGGATGTGCTCAATGAGTCGGTCAGTTTCGGTATTTCCGCTATGGGACCTATACAGGCATGCATAGAATCGCGGATGGTCATCGCAGTCTACGCGCAGCCAGAGGTTAGATAGGTCCCTTCCTTCAAGCGTCCCGAGGCGACGAGAACAGATATCCTCTCTGACGTACACGCAAACTCCCGCCCGCGGCACAAATGAATGTTCCAATTTGTACCCCGGGTAGGAGAGGTAGGAAGTATCAGCCGGGGAGGAAATCTGAGTCTCGGTAAGAAAGAGCAAGGCCGGCTTCGCAGTCTCTAAATGGTAGTGGACTGCGTTGATATTAGAATTGAGCCCCCTAACATTTGTGAAGTCCACAGCGAGCGTGGACGGGGGTGCCTTTGTTGAGTTGCTCCGTTTGCCCCGAGAACGACTTTGTTGTGCCAACAGGGGGGTGTGGTCACCACCGGGTGTGAATGTCGGTGTTGATGCCCCAAGGGGATTCTCCACCGCGAGCGCGTGTTAGTCCTCTTTTTCTGCACCTTCATTTTTTTTTTGGGGGGGGGGGGGGCGGCGTGTCTCTCCCGCACGAAACGCGAGTACAATAAGGTGAACTTATTGCATCACTTCACGCCGGTTTTCTGAGAGACAGTGGTACTGCCCCGGTCGTGCCTGCCCATTTGGCTGAAGCCCGAAGGCAACAGCATGGCACTCCCACTAGTTTTATGCTGATGCCATACCTTAATAAGGCTATATTATACGTAAAGTTATGTGGAGTCGATACTTTGATCTTGGTACGACTATGTCAAAAACATATTTGATTTTGACATACGGATGTCGTAGTTCGCGTTAAGTCTTCATCCTCAAGTTTAAATATGTAAAAATACATATTTGCCCCACAGCATAAAGCTGAGCCAGGGCCAGTTATAACCACAACATTATTATTATTTTGTGTGTTTCTCTGTGTGTGTTTCGTTAGCAATAAATGTTTTGTTATGTTAAGTCTACCTAAATACCTTTCATTTATCATTATTTAACTGATTTTTATAAGAAATAATCTAGGATTATTTCATAGAATATACTGGATATTGGGTCGTAAATATTCCATACAACTGTGATTGTTTCACGTAGTTTAAAAAAATACAATAATTATGCTAATAACGAATGCAACCTTACCTCTCTGTCCGAGAAAGCCAGAAATTAAATATGATATTTGTATAATACGCCACTCCTTATTTATATTAAAATATTTAATTTTCAAAACCACTAGTTAATTGTTTCATAATTTAGAAGGCATTAAAATTTGCATCAATGGTGAAGAACAACCAAATAGACTTTGTTTAAATTGAAATTATTTTAATTATTAGATATTTCTTCAAAAATACGGAAAATAGCTAGGCAGGGTATGTTATATACAATTAATTTATTGACTTACCAGGTATGTGATGCCCGGGATCTTTTGTAATCTCAAGGACATACAATTCCCTTCCCTTCACAGATTTTCCGATGCTTGTGAGCCGAGTTATATCTGGATACTCGACGGCTAGATCCTTCAGCAACGTCTCCATTGCTTCGTAGTTGTGGTGGATGAAGTCTATTGAAGATAGAGCGCTGATTTGACGCGTTCTCCTAACGACTGAGGATTTGCCAGTTTGGAATATTGGGTATAGTAAACCCAGGTGTATTATTTTTAAATAAAGGATTGAGTCTAAGTGATAAGTGTGGATGTTTAGTTGTGTTTAATTTTTAACTGTAACAAATCTTTTAATTAAGTATAATTTCAATGAAATATAATTATATATTGTTAGTGTTTACGATAGTCATATATGCAACAGTGGAGAAATAGAAAGAAAACTACAAGAAATAAGCGTAAATGTATTTTAATTAATATTTACATAGACAATTTGTAAAATTTTATATGTGAATCATTTACATATGAGGTATTTATTACACGCGGTTGGAGGATAGAATGAAAAAAGAGGAACAGAGAACAGGCAAATCATCAGAGGTCAGGAGAAATTATAAAGAATAACTTAGGGTAACCATCACCAAGAAAAAGCATGTAAATAAACCACATACCAAAAAAACTGAAATTTACCAAATAAATAATAAGCATTAAATAAAAGATGTTATTACTAGGATACGTTTATAACTTATTGCATATATTATTGAGTAAACTATATTCTATAATGGAACATTTTTTTATAATATCAACACGTATAATTATCTATGTATAACTAGACTCTATATAGGGATTGTTACAAGCATTGAAGAACTTTGATATATAAACAATTCTTCTATTTAATACAAAACAAATGACGATCACAAGGCACCCCACAAACCACTTACTGATGACGTTCAAAAATTGCACACACACCACTTAAATTATATAATTTATTTAGATTGGAATGTTGTATATTTTTCTTATTTTTAACAGAAATTCACAATAGCAAACACATTCTTTACAAACTTATTTATGCAATAAAATATTATATTTATTTAATATTTTCTATTAAGCTAACAGGAAGACCAGCCCCGCAGTGATCAAACGAACGAATTTTGAACAATAATAATCATTATTTTATTAAAACCTATGGCAGTGTAAGTTTAAACACTCTTAGAAGGTTGAGCAATAATATGTCTTCTAAAGGGTGCTTGAGCACTTAAATTTAAAGGTGCATAATATAATATTAAACTTATTGCCGATAGACATGATTAATAAGACACAATAAAACTTAGTAATTTAACTTTAAGCATCCATCCCAAATATATCCAAATATACATTATTTAAAAAAATCCCAAACACGCAAACACTATTTATATAATATAATAATGTATATTAAAATAGCTACCACCACAACAGATTTAGTTTTATTAATTACCATATCTGTTTACAGCCTTTTTAAAGATAAATATAATTGACTAGAACATTACATTTATAAGAAAGTAAAGATAAAATCTCTCTTTCTAGAGCCTCACTCTTTTCTTTGGGGCCCGTAAATCCCTAGGCCTCTATAAGCAGTACCAATAGCAGATGAAGCAGTAGCCAGCAGTGAGTGAGGGTAACGGCTGCGTTATCATGGTAACGCTGGTACTTACCGTCAGTGAGCGTGCGCGGGCGACGGTGAACGGTCAAGTTCAGGATAATCGGGTGATCTTGTACCACGTGAATGGCAAGTGGCGGTGTGGTCGAGTACCTACATAAAATTTTTTTTTGACTAATTAGTAACAAGACAAAAATGGAATTTGATTTTTTTATAATAAATAATGAAAACACCGTAATTTGAGACTTCCATTCATAATGCCGCAATGTTTTAGTTTGGCCTCAGAGTTAATTCGTCCATTTCTAAAGAAAGCGACTATATTTACTTACCCACTAGCAACAGCAGTAATATTATATTCCCCAGGCAATAAAAGACGCCAATACGCGCCGTCTTTTGTCGTCTTCACTATATGATCGATACCTTCCACTGTTATTTGGGCGTTCTGAAAGTTGTATAAATACTTCTATACTATCTTTCTCAATTGAACGTAATATGCCCGAACGCCTGGGTCATGTTGCTTTCCGGTCAGAATAAAGATTTGTTTTCCACCTTTGGTATGTTGTGAGGATACGAATATAACGGGTATGGCAAAAATTCTGGTACAAATTTGCCATAGAAAGGTCAAAGACACATTTATGTCAAAGGAAGCTAGACTATATTTTCACATCAAACCAGAATAGCTGAGTCTCGGTAAATTGTGGTAAATAACTTTACAATCGCATTGGTCTAGTGGTTAGTACCCCTGACTGCGAATCCATGGGTCCCGGGTTCGATCCCCGGCTGAGACAAACATCGATGTGAGGTCTTGGTGTTTAAATATGTATTTATATGTGTTAGGTCTATCTATGTATATCCGTTGCCTAGTACCCATAACACAAGCTTCACCAGCTTAGCATGGGACTAGGTCAATTGGTGTGAATTGTCCAATCATAAAAATAAAAAAAACTATGGTTCACTCTGTGTCGTTTAATAAATTAGATATATCTGTAAAAATTCACAGTATAAGTTGTTAGATATACATACCTGTATGGGCTTTCCGTTTTCATCAACAACAAATCCCCTAACTCCTAGGTTGGCCTGCTCCATATAAGCCAAGAGAGATTCCTTATTATTTCTCCAGAACCGAGGTAGTTCACTTGCGAATGGATACTTGCAGCATGATAACTCAAAGGTCACTTCAAAACAGTTCGAATGGAGGTAATTGAAGTCTTGCATTCCACCTGTATGTGTGTTTTTATGTATTAACATTTATTCGAAATGACGGATAACTACTATAATATGTGAGCTGTAGCATGGTGCGGGTGACAGTTTCACTAGTAACGTTTCGTTTCACTCTTGAATGTTGCCGCGCTTTACAAATTATGACTTAATATTTCAGCTGTACCACATTCGTAATATATTAAATTATTAATAACTATACTAATTTAAATTTAACCCAGCCAGAATGTTCTAGTCAACAAATTAAATTAAATTGAAAGGAAAATTAAGCAACTCTCACCGGCACCATGCTACAGCGCAGATAGTATAAGTTCCGTAGAAACACAATTAGTCCATAATATAACGTCCCTTTTTACTGTATTTAATTATATTATGTAGCCATATGGAGATATTGGTATGTTTCAATATCTTAATAGACAGATTATAAAAAACAATAGCATATAAACATAATTTCACTAGTTTTATAAATTATAGTCCCTTTTACTGGTATTGGACTGATTGAACACTAGTATGGACTTTCTAAAAACGTTGTATTGCATTACGAATTTTTGATTGATTAACAGCTTAAGTACATAAATTAAAATAAAGCGCCAAGTTCAGTGAATTAATTTTTCAACTACAGTGTAACCAAACCAAGACACTTCAGACCATTTTTTTTTAAATCCATAAAATAGACTTTGTATTATAGAGCCACCTCGTACCTATACTATTAAACTTATCTAACAAAAATAACGATTTGTTTCGCACCTTTAACAGAATACCAAAAAGCTCCATTTGTGAGGCCATCGTTAAATTTCTCAGGTTCGCATGCGTTCCCGCGATTCATGTCCGGGTTATTGGACGCGTATACGCCGGCTAAGTGCTTAAATATCTTATCATCTGGAGTACGACTTTCAACGCAGCAGTCGCGTTTCTCGTCGAAACTGTAATGTTTTATTTTACTTGGTTAGGGAGCGTTCAAGTTTTACGTAACGAATTTTGGGAGGGGGGTTCCTTTTGTAAAACGTTACGATGCGGGGCGGGGATTGAATTACGCGTTATTGTTAATATTATTTTCTACCTACACCACATAATAGTAACTAAAGAGTCACTAGGTGGTCACGAAACGTTTTACTAGAGGGTACTGAAAAACGTTACGGCGAGTTACATGGGGGGGTCAATTATCTCCAAAAATTGCGTTACGTAATACTTGAACGCTCCCTTATTCACTGTGTCCGATACAAACCCATGTAAAGTATACAAGCATTAATACCTGCAGCTGTGTTTCATCATCGGACGTCGAGACAGAATACGAAATTCCACCCGTTATCACCTCGACGTCCGCCGTTCCACAACTGAGCGTGCTTTTCAGAGGCAGTTTTTGCCGCGCACCACCACTATGTGGAATCAGCTGCCCACTGAAGTATTCCCGAACCAATTCGACTTAGGGTCCTTCAAGAAAAGAGCGTACCAATTCTTAAAAGGCCGGCAACGCACTCCGCGAGCCCTCTGGCATTGAGAGTGTCCATGGGCGGCGGTATCACTTAACATCAGGTGAGCCTCCTGCCCGTTGCCCCCGTTCTATAAAAAAAAAAAAACGTGTGTATTATGTTAGTCTTTCGTCCATTTTATACCAAATAGGGCGAAAAAGTTAGTAATATTGTGGAGAGATTGATAATCTGTGTTTTTAATTCGTAGAATAACATTTAATAACTTCAATATGTAAGCCACATATAAACTATCCTATACCTGGAATCGTATGGATAGCTGGCGACTATAGCGCCACCATGTAAATTAGCTGATAGGGTAAACTGCTTATTCATGACCCATTTCATCAGCGCCACGGTCTCCGGCTGCCTTCCACGGAACAGGTACTCGTCATCCGTAGACTTGTTCTTATCAAACTGGTCCGGGAAGTTACGATTTAAGTCCACACCTTTCGCGTTGTTCCTGCCTTTATAATCGTTCAGCGATTCGCAAGAACCTTCCTGTAATTATGATTGCATAATTAAGTTTACTGTTTTTATGTTATATGTATTGGGAGTTGTGTAACACTGATTTCCATGTTGTAAATATAATTAGTATTAGTCTCTGCAATAAAATTGGCTAGATATTTCATAGCGGGAAAATTTGTGCATCAATAGGAAAAACCACAAGCCAACCGGTTAATGCCGGAAACGGAAATATTATGCGACAGTCTAATGTACGAATCAGTTTTATGTCGAAAAGCCTAACTCTGCTTTAAAAACAAACCAGATGAGAAATAACGGTTTACTTATAATGTGATAACGTTAATGTTTTTATAGACATATTAGTTATCAGACTGGAACAACTGTCATGATGTATTTTCACGCGTGACGTCAACGGTTTACGTAAACAATAAAGATATCTTAATACCAGAAAATTTAATTGTATTTGTTTGTAAACAAAACGGGGAATCCTTTTGCAGTTATTACACATACTTGATGATTCATTTTAGTAAGATAACTGAATAAATAGGAGTTTTATAGGCATTGTATATTATCTAGTTATAAAGTTCTATTTTTAAGCTTATTATTTTAATTAATTAGATTTACGTCTATATAATTTTATCAAATATTTATAAATAGGAATAATACAGCAATATTTAATTTGATTTATTATCTAAGATAACAAATCAATAATAAAAGTGCCACACTGATTTTATGACACTAATTATATGATTAAAGTGATGATTTGCAGTTTATATGTGCATGGGGTTTACTTATTTCATTTTATATAAGATTAAATATTGTAAAGCTAATAATAAACTTTGTTATAATACGGTATGTATTTGTACCTATATCATAAATAGATCATACTAATATATTTATAATATTCATTGATATAAATTTATATAGTTTCCTTTATGTCCTTGGTTAAAAAAATCAATAAGCATATTTTCTTTACTTTTCATGCATTACTTAATGAAGAACTCAGATAATTTTAATTCAAAATTTAGGTGCCTTCTTGAAAGTAAGAAAGTCTGATTTCCAATGTAAAGTGAAGTACTGATCATATTTACTTTAGTTTAGTTCTTTTTAAAAAGATATTTCTTATAAAATTTTAAGAGAATCCATAATCCTACATTCAACACAAAATTCTTTAGACATATGACAACGATTAGTATAAAACACATTTTAAATAGCTTCTTAACAAACCAAACCAGAATAAGGGTACAAATAGAGCAAGACTGGCTATATAAATAATAAACACTGCCAATGATAAAAGTTGAACTGCAATTTCTTATCAGAACCTCGTGCTTTTGCCCTTTAATGATAAAATGTTATCAGTTTACTTATACAGTTTTGTAATTTGTACTGTATACAAAAATGGGTTGATCCTTGGGTAATGAGATAGACCAACACCAGTAGTAGTACAGAGATGATTCTTTTGGGCCTTTCCTGAGTATAGTAGTGAGATTGAGTTTTATTATAGTTATTGAAGTATAGTTCAGGTATCTGGTTCAGTTCATTGTTTTAATATGTTAGTCCAATTAGTTTGTCATTAGTATTTATGATGTTTAAGGCATGTTTTTCTGAATTCTTTTTATTTAATAATAATTGTTATGATGCATATTATTTAAACCAGAGCTTGAAAAATTAGATACAGCTTAACATTAGTCATATGACTATAAGTAAATATAGACTCAAGAGGAATTAAGTAAACTTGGAAAAAGTTTTGATCTCAGTCTCAACTCTCAATGTGAAGAGGTACTTATAATTTAAGACACTATTATATTCTACTTAACTCATGCTTATGGGTTACAGGATGCTCACATACAGAATCAAATAGGTAACAATATTATCCACTCACCTTACTAGCTTCAAACCCATCAGGATTAAGGGACGGCATCAGATGAATATCAGTTTCATTTACTAATTTTGAGACCCTGCCGTCTTTGCCGTAATTGTGCAGTAAGTACTGGGATAAGAATACAACCAATTCTCGACCAACAGATTCATCTCCATGCATATTTCCAACATATTTGAACGAGGGCCGTTCTGGGTGAGCTTTTTTAACATCTGAAGTAATCTGGATTACTAGCAGGCGGCGGCCTTCAACAGACTTTCCAATCGAATACACTCTAGCAAGTTCCGGGTACCTTGCTTCTAAATTCTCAAATAATTTTTCTAATTCATCGTATTTAACGTATTTAGGGTTTGTGAGAAAAGGTTCATTTTCATCTTCTATTGATCTTGATACACTTCCACTTATAAGAAAAGTAAACAATAGAAACATTAACTTAGGTATTGAAGTCATGTTTGCAAAGAGAAAACTTAGAGGGCAAAAATAAAACTTAGTAATGATTAATAATTAAGTCATTTATAAAATTTAACATTGTATATGAATATAATAAAAAGATATGAAATTATTTTTGAAAAGAAAGTTCTTTACACGAACACACTCGTCGGCTATCGACTCAGTAGACAGCTGACAGTAGTCAGTAACACAGGTCACAGACACAGAACACTATTACTTCTAGCGAAGAAGAACAACTACTTCATAGTAAAAAAAAATGCTTACACCAGCGCTCCAGTTAATACCATGGGTACTATCGTATGGCGCGAGAATTTAAAATGATATGCATGTACAGAATTTTAAGGAATAATATAATGTAGAGAAATAAAACAAGCTTTGTAAATGAATCGGGCGGTAGAAAAGATACAGCAAAACGATTTTGATATTTTTTATTTGGTTTTTAAAGAAAAACCTGAAGTCCCTTGAAAAATTTGTAAAAAAGTTTTGTGCAGTGGCGTAACAATAGGGTGGCAGGGCTAGCAAAATGCAACCGGCCCCCGACCCAAGAGGGCACAGCCCCAGAGATTTTATGTTCTATGGGTGAATGTGAAGTCTCGAATACGCATTGGGCTAGCGTGGGGACTACAGACCATTCCCTCTCGCCTAAGAGAAGTGCTATGGCCATTAGTGGGACATAATATTATACAACGTCTAATCTAATTGAGTACTCTGAAACTCTCAAAGTTTAACAAAAATTAAACTGTGTACAACGTGACGATTTTTACTGATAGGGCCCCAAAAAAGGGATCAAAAGAATTTGTCACGGGCCCCAGATGGTATAATTACGCCACTGGTTATGTACCCAGTGTAGCTTTATATTCTAATAAATTTAATAGATAGCCAATATTATAATAAAATGATACGTCTATAGATACTGATGTTATTAAAATTAATAACAAGAAAGAAACCCAATAAAAGTTTGCTAACGTTGAATAATTTTAACTAACAATATGGTAGATATTTATTCAATCAGGTAATGTTGATCTGGATATAGCTGATTGCTTCTTTTGTAGAGCGCTTTCACATTTTCGCAGATAGTGCCATTGTTGGCATTGGCTGATACAAAAGCTGACGGACTGACTGAATGACAGACTGTATCAGCTAATTACTACAAGCATAGATAACACGGCAACTAGAAGATTGCGTGACTATTAATTTATATAAAGTTTGAACTAATGTAAAATCTCATAAATGTCTTCTGAAGATCTATCTCTGAGTCTGAAAGGCGGTGGAACAGACGACATTAGCTCACGCGACCATTATTATATTTGGTGATAGAGTCTGTACGGAAAGACAACCGATGTGGCGATTATGCGAACTAATTTAATTCTAATTTGCACTCGTCATTTCATTAATTCAGAAAAAAAACTTATTTTTTTTTTATATTAAGTATGTATAAAGATAATTACTATAACGAGGTATCAGAGTTGTCAACAACAAAAACGGTAACACTGCAGTGGGCTAAAATCCTACAAAGGTTCTCTTTTCGCGCAGACAAGTGGGTCTTACTAGCCAAGTGGTTTATTACACACCTTTTTACAGTGAACTTCCTGCCTATTCTTTCATAACATAATATTTACTGAAGTGCACTAAACCAATTCTGCAGTCTTTATTAACGCGTTGATAAAAGTACAATATTATTATGAATATTCAAAAACACAAATCATTAAATAGACATATATTTCAATTCAAATTAGTTTTAAATACATGAAAAATGTACCGTAAAAAATAATATAGAATGTTTGATTACTACATGAAATTGAGGAAAATATGTATTAGATTTAGGTATGTTATACCATATTTGTTGAATCTTTTGGACTATTGATATGTGGTCGCAAGTACCTCCTATAAATAGGAGAAGTTAAACTGGCTGAATTTCACATACTCCTGCGATGCGGAAAATATGTAAACAAATTTTAACATAAAGGAGCTTATTTAATAATAAATTATTATTATAATATCCTGTTCGGATTTAATTGGCAGGAATTAAAGCTATAATATGCGTAACAATACCGTGTTTGTTAAATATACATTTGAGAAATTAGTGAATACTATACAATATGAACACAATAATATGTACAACTAAGAAATTAAAATAACAAAATTTTAATGGCAGCTAAATGAACACTTGTCCACACTTTGTATAAATCATTTAAACCAGAGGTTTATTTAAAAGTGTACATAAAATGTAATTACTCAAGGTATCTATACATATTTGCATACATTGCTTAATAAAATAACATAAGATTACAGCGGCTACCGGTTTTGTGCATGGTTATACTTATACTCAAAGTAAACTGCGACCAAAAAGTATAAATACTTACTGTATACAATTTAAAAATCTTAAACTATTTTATTTAGGTACAATTGTATTTGGTTATTAAAATCAACGGAACTCACAATACATGTTACTAAATTTATTTCTAACCCTACTTAAATAGTAAAAAATACAAAAATACATAAGGCACGTTAGTCAGTACCGTATTATGTCAGGCAATATGCCTTTTTAGTACCATTTCATAAATTCTCAAAAACTTGTGCTTTTAATCCTTAAAGGACGTACAAAATTGTATTATAGAACTAATTACGAACAACCTTTACAAAGGACGGTGTGAAAATACTGTTTCATTTTAGTTACAAGTCTTTTTTCTTTGAGTTATAAATATTGAGTCATACAGTAAGCTTAAGACATTACTTCCAATTCTAATAAATTGCATCTTTTATTTGGGTTAAAGTTTACGTGTTAATGCACAAAAAATCAAAGTGATCTTATCAGTACAACTGTGACTGTCGCGGTTGCTCCCTCTGAAGTCTCATTTCACATGAAAATTACGCAAACAGATCAGACTAAGCAAACTTGTCGATATTGAAATGAATAAAAACAATTTATAATGTAGTTTACAGTTTTTGTGTCTCTCATACAAATAAGTAAGGAGCGATGTAGCCCATTCTTTCTGCAGTTTATTTATTGTTAGTTCAAATTTTAGTTATTCTAGAAAGACTAAGACGGAGAAATGTAACACGACACGTTAAGGAGTGCGCAATAGATTTTCAGGACATTTGGCACTATGTTGCGGCGGAGAGAAATTACACACAAATCTCATCAATATCTATTGTTTAGTCTGATCTTTTCTAGCCAGATTTTCACCACATGATTAATAAGAACTAAATTAATCTATGCACTGTTTTAACTATGGTACTCTTTCTGTCAAATGAAATAGACGGTTAAATATTTTAGTTAAAACGGTGCAGCTAAATTTTTTATAAATAATTTGACTTTTTGAGGTCGACTTACATAACGCGGTTTCATAGCTACACATTTGAGCACTCATGCAGAGATATAAATACAAAACAGGCACTTATCACTACACTAATATATTATCAATTAAACTAAGTGCGTGCGTAACTGAAATATAACCTTTTTTAAAATTTTAAAATCTGTGTCATTTTGACTTCGATTAGAAAAAAATACATACTTTCACAATTTTAAATGTATTAATTTTGACGTCTTGACCGGAGTCAGAGATGCAATTTTATATTTAAAATAATTAATTTTAAAATTGTGATAATAAACCGGGTTTTAATTTAGTAAAGTATATAAATTTTTTTAATGCATTCCGACTCGGTTCGTCTAATAGCTGCTCGTTAGCAATCTTAATATCATACTACCGCCGGGATCATAATCGAAATACCTGTCATAATTACTATGAATTGCAGATTTTATGGAATCAACAAGTACAGCAATTACCATTAGTTAATATAGCACTTGAGCTTAAATGCCTCACATAAATAGCTAGCATATAAATATCAATATTACCCTGGTAATACGGGCAAATCAACATTTATGTTAGAAATTGAATTCCCCGACTATTACAAAAGGTATAGTAGCCAAGGTTTCATTCCAACTGTTTTACCGTAATTTTGAGAAATTGTTAAGAATTTACGATCTAAAAATAATTTCGTAAGTAATATTTCATGTATGTTTATCAAAAATTTACTTTAAACTTTTCATTCCCATCAACATATTCTTTACGTTCCATTATTTTTACACTTATTAATTAAGTAGAGATCATTTATAGGAACCGTGACTCCCAGAAGATGTTGGCAAGAATTCCGGCGATCATCAAAGAGAAGTATAGTATGACTGCCGCCCACCACAACCTCTTCTCCCATTTGCGCTTTTCTAGATTTCGGAGTACGCCAATTCCGACCAAAAGTCCTGAAATCATCGTTAACCAATCATATAAACTTTTTAAGAGTAAAAATTTACATTTTTATCGAATAAACCACAGGTATTAACAGTTTTAAATTAATTTGACTTTGTTAATTTAAAAGCTCTGTGACATACGATGACAACGGCAGTTGACAGTAACGCCATTGCTTTTAAGAGGACAGCGAAATAGCAGGGCTTCAATTTAATAATCAAAATTGGTATTTAAAACCGTTTTTTCTACACAAAGATTGACATACATCAAAATTCAAAACAAAATTGGTACTTGAGATGCGAATTGATATATGGCATTTAAATTTGTTTAGGCATTTTGGTAAAATGCTAAAATAAACAAAGGAAACTAAAATATATAATATATATTTCTTTACCGCTTAGTAAACGTGTGTGTAAATATTGAGTTAAAATCCACATAATATAGAAAAAATCATAATTTTAATTAGTATGCCCTTGGAAATGCATGGCTTTGCTGTATCATCATCATTATTTAGTGATAAGAATCGAGATAAACGAAATATCCTTACCAGCAACGGCACCTCCAAGATGTGCGACGTAACCAATATTCTGCTGCGTCTGTTTCCAATATCTATCGTACACCGCTGTACCGACGTCCACCCCCGCCAAAAGAACAAATACCAGCAGCTGGATTATGGCAAACTCCATTTCTGCCCAATTCTGTAATATAGATTAAGTAAATGCAAAAGCTTTTCTATTGTTTGGGCAGACCAATGGCAAGATATTGATGCATAAGTCATAAGTGCACATTATGTTATCTATGTGATTAAATGATTTTTTTTTACTTTACATAAAGTGGTCTCTGAGACTCACTACTAAATGTGCGAATAATTTCTTACTGTAAAAAAAGTTGCTTCATAAGACGTCTTTAAAAAAAATTGTTGAGAGGATGTTTTTTAGGTTAAACCAACTACAGTGGAATCTCTATAACTCGAATGTCAAGGGAAAATTCGAGTTAACGAGTTTTCGACATAACCCGTAAAGAACTTCGGCCGCGTATTTCGGCCTTCAGCGGAGGGAAATGTCAATTTTTTTCGACTCTTGAGGATTTCGACTTAACGAGGTTCGAGTTAGAGATTCTACTATATTACAAAACGTATTAACAAATTTTTCGTGACTATTTGTTCAGTATCTAAATTATTATAAGATTGATATGAAAGTGGAAGGTGAAAACCAGTTTATTTCTACTTAAATTACCTACCATTATAATAGTAGCAATATGCGCCGTAATTAACGCATACACTCCTCCAGATGCGCCTGCAAGGTAGACCTTGGGGTCAGCCAGACTGGTGGCTAGTGACCCGGCAGCTACTCCGGCCAGGTAGACGAGAACCACTCGCCACCACTTGTGTACCATCTCCAGTGGTACACCGAGAAACAGCTGCACCAGAAGATTGACTAGTAGGTGTACTACGCTGAAATTTTAGGAGGATTATGTAGTATGACCGTCTCTTGGCTGACGAATTAAAATATATACATATGTACAAAATATAAATGCAATTATAAAGTTCATTGCGTCTATAGTAAACTAATCCCCGATTATATGATAAGTATAATAACGTAATAGTCGGATCAAGAACTAATTCCGCACATAGAAAGAAAATTAGAAGACCTCAGGGATGTAGGTCGCACGCTTAAGCCTAGGATAACACTGCTCCCTCCCGTTAATTATAAAAATTTGAAATAAAATGGCCTAAAGACCGGAGAAAGCGTTTTAAATAATACTTACTTTACATGCACCAGCATATACGTCAGAAATCTCCATGCCTCATGTCTTTTCCGTGGATTGTAGAGAAATAGCTTTGCTATGGGTCCGGTCGCAGCTGTTTTCCCCTGGGCTTCATCATAGCAGAACAGGACAATCTCCACCAAGGATATGATGATCATGGAGATGGCTGGTGGCCAGCAACTGTACTCCTCTTCGTAGGTTCCGTCTGTGTACGTGAATACTGCCTTGCTACGAGTTCGGACTGGTTAACGCAACACAAAGGGAACGGGATGGGGCAGGAATACATTTCGGTAAAAATAAATAAGGGAAAATTATATAAATATGTAATATTCAAAATAACGTTACGTACGGAGTTTGGTTTAGAATTTGGTAGAATACATTATTAAAGACATGTAATATTCATCCAAGATGACGCCATAAAACGACATCAATTTGAGACATATTAGGCAATTAATAATTAAGAAATTGTATAAAGTTGATAACAATAGATCAGAAATAGATCACGCGCCACGAGTATGACCATTACGACATAGCAGGACGCATTAAGTCAATTAAGTGGTCGCGTGTTGAAAAGGGCAAATTGTCGTTAATAGAGTAATTGTAAGCGAATTTTAGAATTTTTCGTTCGCAACCAATTGGTAGGAAAAAACCGTTCAATTGTGAATATTCAAGAAGAATATTGTAACATAAGGATAAACACATACAAACAGTAGGTAAGGGGTGGGAAAAAGAAAGAAAATTGTTAGTACTTATTGCATGCTATATGTAAAGCTAAATAAGGAAGGTGAATTCATTAAAATGTATTGCCTTTGTGAACCTTCCTTATTCAATGGTTTAGATAATGAGAACAACAACGTTGACCTTGTACAATTATGTGAATGCTTTTTTATTATGATAAATATTATAGCATATTATCCCGTCACCTCTGAACCAATGACCGTGAAAAAGCAAAAAGTATTTGATGTACAAGAATTGCATTTTAATATTCCTTAAAGTGATCAGATAGCGAAATTTGCATACCAAAATACGCGTACACTTGCTTTACATATGTAAGTACAGTTTTAATTGACCACTTGCAGAAACCTTGTGTTTTGTAAGTTTTAAACGACATTTTCACATAATTATTAAACCACCATAATAATCACTTAAAATTCAACCAACTACACTTTAAACATTCCTTTATTTAAAATATATTTGAAAAATGTTCACAAAGTTGCAACTCTTCGTTTCCAATTTTCGGGAAATAATCGATATTTTCCCACGTTCCAACAATAAATACGTGCATCACAGGGCTCAATGTTAAGTAGAACTAGTGAGACTCGAGGCGATTGTGCTTAGTTCAAGGGTCGCGGTCTTGTAATCTTATTTATATTGGATTTACCTGTAATCATACAGGTAAATCTCCATTCATAGGTTAATTTGCATTTCTATTTTTAAGCCGAATATACTATTTTGTTAATAGAAACTCTGGAATAGACAAAAAAGGCGATTGCAGGCTTTGTAGGATAGACATTTTTAATCCCATTTTAATAAAAGATAGCCTTATAGCTCTAATCCTATCTCGAGGTAAATATGAAAGTCTGACAGTGTCTTTTGCGTACAAAGGACAAAAGGTGGGCAGGTTTCAGTCAACAGAAGATTCCTTCAACGTTCCATTGAATTTGTTCGTTAGTGATCGTCATATACCACATTTTCTATATCATTTAGACATCTTGTAAAACTCCAGGACACTGCTCTAACTTCGCGCACATAGATGGCGTTAATATTTTAATAAACTCAACTGAAATAGTTCTCTGCAGAAAAGCACTCGAAACGACAAATTATATTTATAAATATTTAACATATTTGACCTTTCGTTTGGACCCTAAAGGAATAAGATGACGACCGTGCTATTTTCGGGGTCAAATAAATTGTGGATAAGGCCGAATTGCTTTTCTGAGCTGCTAGTTGATACACGCGATTTCATCTGCGGAGAATTGGCATAAACATATGACATGTATCTGTGATCCTATAAATCTCTACATACCAACAAATATGACAACCTACTTGCATTTATTTTGGTTAGAAAACGTGTCTAAGAATAAAGTTATTTATTATTTTTGGTATTACCATTCGGTCGTGATCTTGGCGTTTGAATAGTTCTTATGTTTGTTGATACATCTGTTTCTAGCCTTAGTACTTGTTGAATGTTTTGCGTCCTTCGTGCTCCTATGTTAATAGATTTGTTAATAAACTTTGTAATAAGTTATTTTAAAGCTTATTTTACATTAAGAAAAAATATCGTACACAACAATTGATGTGAAAATGATAAATAGTTTCAGTAACAAAGTTATCTTCGGAATTTGCAAAACAAAATTTTAAAGAAGCTGCGTTAATTAGCAACCAAGTTAAAAATGATTGCGTATTTTGTAGTGAAACTTTTTTAGGCGCATGAGGGTAAAATTTTTACGGATGAAACGCAATTATAATAATATTAGCGTCACGATGATTTGCAGCGTTTTTGTCAAGAAAAGGGAGAGAGCGATTGAGAGAGAGTGAGAAGGGCGAATTACATTATAGAAGTTACATTTTTAAAATTAAATTTTCGTAAAGAGAATTTATGAAATATATTTTATAATTTATGAATAATTTTTATTGAAATCTCAAATGACGAATTGTAAATTAAAATGCCACGTGTTTTTACTATCGATGAATCAAATTTATATTTTGTATTAATTTTCGATACTTTTAATAATTTAATGACAATTAAATTCATTAAATTCCTAACATATCTTCCTTTTTCCCTCCCTCTAAGTCTCGGCAATCCAAAGTTTTAGATTTGTATAAATATGAACAAGACCTAAAAATTTGTTTGCCAAAGAAGTTTCACTTCTGACATGTGTACTTTGTACGCACGCACTTTTTTTCTAACAAAACAGCTCTAAAAATCTATTGGCGTTAATATCAGTAATTGGCTAGAAGTAAAATAAAGCAAACCTAACACACACGACACAGGAACATTATACGAGTGACCAACAGCATATTATCAGAGTGATAAGAAACAGGTAGTAAAACAAACTGTGTCCGTCGTGTTTAGCGAAGGTTAAACAGATTAACTGACAATCAAGAATTATAAATATACGATCTAAGAATAACTTAAGAATTCTACATAATATTTTAGATGTTCTAACTTTAGTAGAATACCTACTCTCTCAAATAATAGGACTTTATGTATAAAAATATTGAAGGTACGTTATAACATTTTACACTTTCTTTGTACAAAAATGTGTTTGAATAGGAATACGTAATATTATTATTCTTTACGTTAGGTATAATACAACAGTACCACGATATTAATAAACAAATATAAGTTTAACGTATGTCACTATTTGTTTAACCCTCCGTGCTTTTACGGATTACTCACAGACCTAAATACTAAAGTATTAAACTAATCAATAGGCTATTCACCTGGTAACGTCGAGACCGATTCTAATTTTCATTTCCTTTTAAAAATTATTTTTGTATGACGTCACATTTAATACGACGAATATGTCGAAATATACTTCAATTATTTTTCAACATAATACTTGTTAAAAATACGTTTTAACAAGGATACCTGACTCATATTAATAAAACTGCGGTAAAACCTATCATTTGACAAAAACCTCACGTACTTTATGATAACTCACAAATTCCTTCCTCTAAATGTACTTTAATAAGTAATTTTTGTTTTAGCCTTGCTTATAAATGGTATAACGGCATATATTTTTTCTCTGAAGGTCCCTGACGAATAAAAATCTTTATTGCTGTGAAGTTCATTAATTTTTCTTTCATTTGTTTTCGAAATTTGTTTACACGTTTAAAACGTGACCGTAAGCGAATATCTATTGGTTTAATATATTATGATAGACATTTATTAACCCTGAATGTGCCTTTCAACCACTATATTACATTTTTATTAGTTTCATATACATTTTGAAAGACTTTTTTACTATAATCAATGATATTATTTTACGTAATAATATATATGATATTAGAATGTCTTTTGTGAAAAAATACATTAAAAACTGACAGTAATATTTCAGGATAAGAATTTGTAATATGAAAATATTCTACCTTAAACCTATTACAATGTCACCGGTTATCGTTATCAATATCTTTATCGTGTTAATTTGTTGGCGTTTATCCAGCATTAAACTTATCTATAAAATGTGGTTGCATTTTAGTATAAGCAAAGCATTATATATTCTATATAAAGTCGACGTACAAAAATTGGGATAAAATTTGGCCTAGGATTATATTTTTTTCTAGAACCAGTTTCGCACTTACAAGTTAGTTTAAACTTATATTTTTCAGGTATCCTAACGTCAAAAATACCACGCTAATAACTAGCAACACACAAAACTAATGAAAATGAATTTTGAATTTGGAATGATGCGTACGAATGACAATTGACAAAAACCAATGATCCAAAAAAATATTCAAAAAAAGTACCGCCATCTGACGACGAGACTGGCTGGAATCCAGACCACCTTCCTATTGAAAAAAATATACTCTTGATAACGTTAAATTATTTACAAGATTTATACAGCTTATTAATAATTACAGTGTTCCGATATGTACATTAACTGTATATATAAAACATGCTATTAATTTTAAATTCAGGCATTAATATTCTTATCATGCATCATACTTTTCATTCGGGATTGTATGTGTGTATAAAATTAATTCATTTTATAATAAATATACTGGTTATTATTCTATATGTATTCTGGTTTGGGAAAATGTTGCAAATCAAATCGTAACAAAAACTGGAGAATTAAAATTTAAAACAGAACAACTATTTAAATTTAAAAAGTTTAATAAATATTTAGAGCAAATACACGTTAGACAAATGTATATATATACAAGAACGAACTTTAATTTTGTCATCATCAAATTAACAAGCACTCCGTCACGCTTTCAATATTATTAATTATAATATTGATGACCATTTTAATCGTTTAAAAATAAATATACCTGTCGTATCCACTGGTCCTCGATGTGGTATAATTGAATGCACATATCTGGCAACAAAGTGCCCGAACACAGCTTTTAAAGCTGGGTTGTGCATCATCTCCACAAACTCGGCGAACTCGAGGTAACCTGAGTTGTCACGGTCTGCCAATGCCATGATCTTTTCCACCACATTATCGGGTAGGTCATGATCGTATTCCCTTGATTCGATTATGTTTTTAAGCTCTACGTATGATATTCGACCGTCGTTGTCTCTGTCGTACTGAAAACAATACGCAATATTAATACTTACGAAGCATGTGATCCATAAACCTATATGTATTTACGTTTTTATATAAAACGGTATCATAATGACACTGGTTAAATTAAACTACAAATATATATCTTTTTAATAGTGTTATTGGTGAAAAATAATGCAGTATTAATATTTATTATAACATAAAAAGAAAAATTATATTTTGATGACCGGTAGTCTGTTTTTAGGCACACACTGATTGTTTCCTTATATAAAAGTAACTGACGTAAAAATGTTTTACACCAACGTTTTTATGTAAATATAAAGCGAAAGTAAGGGACATTATATTGTGATGTCCACCAAACCCTTTAAAAGGCGGTGTTTACTAATTACGTTCAGACGCCCCGACCACGTTTTATAAAACTATTAGTTTAGGGTGACCCTTACTATGGCAAGGCAATCTAAATCCGACTTGTGCTCGACTGCATGCCCTAATCTCAATAGAATTCGGTCACTGACTACTACGTATTAAACAAATATTGATTGTTCGTCACTGTTTATTCTGATTACAATGGGTTAACTCAGCTAATGAAACTATTCGCGTTTTCATTTAGCATTTGCCAATCGGCCCAGTCATTTGATTGCAAATGATAATGTTAACTGAAGTACGTTCGCCTCTTTAATTTTTTTAAAGATTGATTTTATGTCTGCTAATAATCGTTTATTAAAATCTACAAGAATTTACAATACCTACAAGAAACAGGATTTTTTAAACAGCCGTGTATGATATACGTAATACATATTATGTAAAACTTAACACTGGTTTTGTAATCCTGTTAGTTAATTCATTGCTTTAGTATTTAAACTAATAATATTTATGAACAGGAAAGATTTGAGTTTTAATTGGCAAACTAAACGAGACGTAGCACGAACTAAAATATAAAAATTCAATTCAGTTTGGACGAACGGGAGTCAGACTCAGCGTCATAGTCTAGTCTAGTTTCTGAATCTTACCCTAATATCTTTTAAGGTCGACACATTATAGCCATTTTACTGTGATTAAATTTATTTTAAAATAATTAATTTCGAAGCTGTTTTTAAAGACTTTGTAGTATCCTAAAAATATATATAATATCCTATAATCATTTAAATAACTACAGTATTCATCAAAACTAAATAGTTTTTAATAAAATTGCCCCTGCCATTATTTGATTTCAAAGGATATATTATATTGTTTTAAAATAATTCCGCAAGAAAATAATATACGAGTACCACGCGCGCATTCAAGGTGCACACTTAAATTGAATCGCGTGCCATCACCATCAACATAATTTTAGTGACAATTGTATCTTACCAAAAATACATAGATAAAAACCTTTTTTAAGCATACCAAATATCACCCATGCTCAGTAGTAAAGAGCCTAGCATATTGGCACATACCTATTCTATCCTGACTAAATAATAATTGCTGAGAGTTAAAAATCATGATATGCTCATTATGAAAGTTATGGGACTACAGTGTATTTTGCAGCTGATTAATTTTTAACAAGAAAGATAAATCTAAAAGCATTTTTGATAAAATTACCTACTTCAAGTATTAATCATCACTTATACAAGGAAAAATTTAGAACATCTATGAATCATACCATGTTACTATTCATAGAATATTTTCACATGAATTTCAAATATATATATATGGCACATAGTAATATGCTTGTATTTTTAGAATAATATATCCAAAACATAAATGTCATACAATAGATTTAATATACCAGTTGTAAATAGATTTAAAAAAACTTATTTTGGAATAATGCCAATGGACTGGCAGTGCTTTCACAAATACATATTATATCAATTGTGGTTAAAATATCTCAAAGCTATTAACAAAAACCAATATGAAATATAAAAATGAAATCAACATTTAGTTTTGTTTGAATTTAATATTGATATGTGGACACAATCTAAGCCAATACAGATGTGAATTTAGAAAATGTGTATTGCTTTCATGTTTAACCATTGTTTAGATCAGATCGTAGGTAGGGAATTAAAACATTACCACATGTTTTTGAAACTATTAATTAAACTAACAATAAATAAATCAAAATAATTAAAACTTATAATTATAATTATCTTAGTGTATCAAATAGAATTATTTTATTAATAAGCTACAGTCAAATGGATATTTATATCAACAACAATTTAACAAGTAAAACTTTCAAAAAACCTAAATGAAAACCAACACTGTATAGATGCTACTTTCACTTTAAAGGTTTGTCATGTATATAGGTAGAGTGTATACGACATCTTCAACGTAAATACGTACGTTATACTAAAGCCTTATTATTGACAGAATACCTTGTTGAAAATCCTTCTCCAATATAAATCCGATCTCGTCGGTGTAAGCGGTATAGACACTGCTGTTTCCCGTTGAGTGGCCTGCATTTTACACTGATTTTTAGTGTGGCTTATTACCTGTAATTCTGTTATATTTTAATAAATTACACTTTAATCTTCTTTTGGCTTAGCTTAAAATCATCATCGATTTATTGTGCACGCCCAAGATAAGATAGCGTTGTACTCGATTTACTTTATGTTTGATTGTTGTTTATATTACTGATAACAATATTTCACACTACACAGCCTGCGCCAATAGTACCGTTATGCATACTGACAAATACTGAGAGTGTGTACTGACTACTGACATGAAGTAAAATAAAAATATGAAAATTATTTAGAACCCGACATTTATATCGCGGTAAACACAATAACAGATGACAATATTCAACTATCAATGTCAACCATTAATCCATTCCACACACAGAGTACAGACTTGCAAGATATAGCTTCCATAGGCTATAACGATATATATTTAAAGATGTTTTTAACAATTTTCCCTTTGTTGTATGAATAAAAAAAGTTTTTTTTTGGAGTTTATGGCCTGGTATCTAGACCTTTAGGCCAAATAAAAAGAGGTAATAGGTAAATAATGTTAATTTTTTGAATTGAAAGCATATTTTTCGCTTTCAGGACGTGATGACCTCATCACCCACTGGTTATATATCATATAAGAGACAGATTTTATTTCATCAGCGCAATCAGACAATCTTGTAATTCCGATAAAAACTGACCGACTGTGCATCGAGCACATCCAAACGGCTACAGATTCTCTGCTCAAAAGGTTGCCGACCGCTGAAATCGTGATATCACGATTTTTAGCACCCTCCAATAATTTATAAATATAATAATAATAAATTTTCGCTTCAAAATTTATTCAATTTTTAAGTTCTCAATTTGTTAATAAGTTGGTGTGAGTGGCTTTAAAATATATTAAAAGTTCCCTGAGACAACCTATTTAGTTGAAACATAGGGAAAATATAACACAGTTCTGAGGTTATCGCTCTCGAATTCTATGGTCTACTTTATCTAAGATGTAATATCTATATCTATGTATTTTTATTTACTGTTGTCACAAAGCCTGCGCCTTGGGTGAAAAAAAATACTGTTCTCATAGTGATAGCGCCAAATAAGACAAAACATAGAGAAATAATATAATATACTGCAACAAAATAACAAATATACAAGTACTAAGTAGTGAATCAATCTCCTTCGTGCTTTCTCCATCTATACGACACTGGCGAAGTTACTTGTGTTACTTGTGCCCAGTTGGCACAAATAAAAGCCATTAAAAAAATTAAAATAAAAAAAAGTTGTGAAAACTATGCTGAATGTAATATAAATAACATAATACTAATATGAGGCGTAATACTAAAAATGCTAGAATAGTTCGTATTATTATGGTATTATTGTGGTAAATAATTGTGCCAACTAGATGTAAAATATTCTATTATTGTCGTGTTTTAACAATGAATGATTTTCTAAAAAATAACAAGTCTTCTAATATATATTGGCTTAAGTATCCTTTACAGCATTTGAATCTAACGTAAGTATAATATTGTTGAAGATAAAAAATCATAAACATCCTTCTTCATAAGAATTTTTTTCAGTTATATAATGAATATAATATTTGTTGTAGGTTAAAACTCAAGGCACAGGAGACTATCACATTACTTCCGAAATTTGGAGAACATTTAAAGCAATCTGAGGAAGATGCACAAAATGTATTACAATACCAGGAGTATAATTTTCAGTGGCAGGAAAAATTATTTAGCCAGTATCAGTTTACAAAATTTGGTGATATTCAGAACTGTGTCTCTGAACTGGACTTGGCGTTTAATAGATCTATTCATCAATTCAATAAAAAGCCCCAAAAAGTTTTTACTTATATAAATGAAGAATATGCTTTTCCATTGCCTTTTGAATCAAAAGGTTATGGCAATGAATTTTTTAGTTCTTGTTTTAAAACTTTGAACTTAGAAGATTTTTTGAAAGATCTTGGAAAAGGAGAATCAATGCGTAATTTGTTCAAAAGTGATGATGATGTAGCCCGTGAGGATGAATGGAGAGCAATGTATATTTTGTATGACAATTCAAAATATGACGAGTAAGTTACATTTCATCATTATTTTTAATTAAAATATAATGACATAATATTAGTCTATAAACTCACCCTCTCTCTTTTATCACAGCATAAACACAATTTATAGCATAGAAACAAAAGAGTACTTTAAATAATAGAATGCAATTACACTATACAATAATCAGGGTTAGTATACAATACACATACGTTAAAAAAATATTATTTAGCATTATTGTGTTAATTCTCGGTAATCAAGAAGTAAAAGGCATAATATAATATGTAATACATACTATCCATAACATAAAATAGACACATATGTATTCAGTATAATTGTCTGCAACTCTGAAATGTTGTATAACTATAGTATTAAAAACTGTGCAAAAATATGCAGGTTAATTAATAATAATTATTATAAGGATTAAATATGATTTCCAGAGATAACAACTTAATATTTCAAGATGAGTGCCTTCTTGTATCAATATACCACAATACCAAGTATAATTACATAATGATATCTCCAGATATTAATAATGAATCTAATCCATATGCTGTAGAAAGCTCCTCTGGATATTTGGATTTTGAGTATTTTATAAATGTAGACTTCGGCAAGACTGGTTGTGGAGAGGAGTTCCAAGTTTTGGTAAGAAATCCTACTATAATTATTGAAATAAATAAATTCTTATGATTGCTCTTGAACTTAAAATAGATGAATTTATTACAGCAAAATAGTAGCTAACATAATTATTGTCATATGAAGACAGGAGTCTGTATATATATGTCACTGAAACTCACTGATTCTGACTAATGTTATTCAATTGACCTCTACCTTAAAGGCTGGCAATGAATTTGCAAGCCTCCTGGTGTTGCAGGTGTCCAAACACTTATATTTCACATGGTTCTCATGTTAGTTTTGTTGATTTAAATAAGCTAAATATGTCTTTTCCATTTATAACTTAAATTTTTTTTGACATTTATTATTCTCTTCCAGCTTAATAAATTGCTAAAGAAGTTGGAGAAGAAACAAAAACATTTGACAAAATTTGTTATGCCTCCCCTTGGAACAAGGAAATATTACATATCATTAGAAATAGAATCTGCTAAGGATTTTGATGGTGATATTTATATAGAATATCATGTGAAGGTAAATATTTTTTTATATTAAAAAAAATTCAACTGTATTAAGAGGTTTTTTAGATAACAAATTTATGTACATTTAATTATAATATTGTTGGTTATAATTTTAAAGGTTTTTAGCAAATGTTTTCATTATCTTAAAGGGCCTTATTAAGTTTTTACTTTTATATATTCTAGATTCCAGAAAACATTGAGTCTGTAAGTTTACTCACAGGAAGGACACATTTGAACAAATTTCTAATAAATGAGGGCATACGCATGTGGACTTTTGGGCATATTGTGGATTTTGAAGTTGATCTTACTACTGGAATAGGTATGTATATTATAAATATTAGTAGATCCTAGATTTAAGTAGTATATAATATCAATATTCAATATGGATCTATATATAAATAATAATAAATTATAAAGTCACTTTAATTCCATACTATTTGCAATAAAATTTACATATCAAATGGGTGTTAGTTTTGTTAATATACACTTAGTCTAGGCCAGTTATTGTTGGAGTTATGTTTGGGGTATGGACCCCTTGTGGGCTAGAGCAGTGTTGGGCTAGTGGCTTCTCTAGCGACTCTCATAGTTGAGGTTGTAGGTTCGATCCCCGGCTGTGCACTGTTCTATGTGCGCATTTAAAATTTGCTCGAACGGTGAAGGAAAACATCGTGAGAAAACCGACATGTCGTAGACCCAAAAAGTCGACGGCGTGTGTCAGGCACTGGAGGCTGATCACCTACTTGCCTATTAGATTTAAAAATGATCATGAACAAATTCAGAAATCTGAGGCCAAGACCTAAAGAGGTTGCAGCGTCATTGTTTTTTTTTTATTGATAAACGCCTAATAGTTTTCTTAGTCCCAAAGTATAA